ACTAAAGATCAGTTCCAACTACAAAACTAGTATTCTAAAGATTGAGAACCAGAACCTAAAGTTCTTATATCTATCTTTGTATCAGATAAAAGGCGTTGAGGTGACTTCACCCAGCCTAGGTATCCTCTCCATTGGATCTCTCTCATGTGAGATAGAGAACTTCGTCATTACAAGCCCTAGACTCCATTTCAATTTGGGCTACAATAAAATTATTTCCTCACACTAGCTTTTATATTATCATTCTTTTTATTAATTTGTTGCTAATGATTTCATAATTTTTTACATATTTTTGCCAAATATTTATTTATCTCTCAATATTAATATAATACATGCAGTCAATGAACCAAAAATCCATGTTATAATGTTTCTCTAGTAAATTTGAAAAAAATCTCATAATGACACGTTACCAAAACATGTTGTAATGTTTCTCAATTAATATATAAGAGATTTTTCGTTTTTTATATTTAAAATAACAGCACTATAGTTACAAAAAAGGTTAATAATCAATGGCTTACATCATTTTCCGATAAATGCACTATTAGTGAATCCATATAAATGAAAAAAAAATATTATATAATTTTCATAATTGCTAAAGTTAGATTTTATAGATGATTATGCATAAGAGTATATGGATTGTTTGGCAACTAACATTAATTGGTTTCATGATTGCCTCTTTTAGTTTGATTAAAATAATTAAAATTAAAAATCATCAATCAATCAAATTATAACAATTTTCTTAAACTTCTCATATGATTGACAAATAAGCAAAATCAATTAAATGACTTCTCAATTAATATATAATAAGATATGATCAAAATATTTGAGACACACCAGTCAATTATTATTGTAGTGAATGGTAAACCTAAGAAAACATGATCTATTGTCATTTGCACCTAGCAGTAATACGTGCATTCAGAAAGTTATACATTAATTTCTTTCATAGTTCCATATTGTGGATTCATAATCTGATATGTAATCCTAAAGTATAGTAGTATACAATTCCTTACGACTTTTCTGCAAAGCCCATTAGATATAGGGTAATTAGTGTATTCATCATCAAATTTGAAGAGTTATTTTTTGCTAAATTTATTTCAGTTTAACTGTAAGATATTGAATTAAAACATGACTTATAATTCTTTTGATTTGTAGGTTATAAAGGATCATTGTGGCCATTTGGAAAGATGCACAGTCTACCATGACTTACTCCAATGTGAAAACGGGATGTTGGAGTTTTGGATTCAGTCAATGGTTAATATGAAACACATCAAGGATCTCACACTTGGAAACTTTTCTCCCTCTTGGAAATCAAAATACAGATCCATATGCGCATGGGGACATAGAGATGTAACACTGGATTTGCCTCCTAGGTAATTTTCCCATCCAAGCCTCATATCTCTCTCGCTAGGCTAATACAGCTTAGAAGCTCCACATGCTTTCTACGATTGTTCGAATTTAAAGAATCTCAAACTGATTGGTATCTCTGTTGAGATTGAAGTCCTTGATGCAGTCCTTGTGTCTTGCACTTCTCTCGAAGTGCTTGCACTAAAGATCAGTTCCAACTACAAACTAGTATTCTGAAGATTGAGAACCAGAACCTAAAGTTCTTATATATGTCTTTGTATCAGATAAAAGGCGTTGAGGTGACTTCACCCAGCCTTGGTATCCTCTCCATTGGATCTCTCTCATGTGAGATAGAGAACTTCGTCATTGCGAGCCCTAGACTCCATTTCAATCGACACTTTTGGGCTACAATAAAATTATTTCCTCACACTAGCTTTTATATTATCATTCTTTTTATTACCTTTTGCTAATGTTTTCATAATGTTTTACATATTTTTGCCAAATATTTATTTATCTCTCAATATTAATATAATACATGCAGTCAATGAACCAAAAATCCATGTTAGAATGTTTCTCTAGTAAATTTGAAAAACATTCTCATAATGACATGTGGTTACTAAAACATGTTGTAATGTTTCTCAATTAATATATAAGAGATTTTTCGTTTTTTTGTCTATTTAAAATAACAGCACAATAGTTACAAAAAAAAGGTTAATAATCAATGGCTTACATCATTTTCCGATAAATACACTATTAGTGAATCCATATAAATGAAAAAAAAAAATATTATATAATTTTCATAATTGTTAAAGTTAGATTTTATAAATGATTATGCATAAGAGTATATGGATTGTTTGGCAACTAACATTAATTGGTTTCATGATTGCCTCTTTTAGTTTGATTAAAATAATTAAAGTTTAAAAATCATCAATCAATCAAATTATAACAATTTTCTTAAACTTTACATATGATTGACACATAAGAAAAATCAATTAAATGACTTCTCAATTAATATATAATAGGATATGATCAAAATATTTGAGACACACCGGTCAATTGTTATTGTAGTGAATAGTAAACCTAAGAAAACATGATCTATTGTCATTTGCAGCTAGAAGTAATACGTGCATTCAGAAAGTTATACATTAATTTCTATCATAATTCCATATTGTGGATTCATAATCTGATTTGAAATCCGAAAGTATAGTAGTATACAATTCCTTATAACTTTTCTGCAAAGCCCATTATATATAGGGTAATTAGTGTATTGTTCATCAAATTTGAAGAGTTATTTTTTGCTAAATTTATTTCAGTTTAATTGTAAGATATTGAATTAAAACATGACTTATAATTCTTTTGATTTGTAGGTTATAAATGATCATTGTGGCCATTTGGAAAGATGCACAGTCTACCATGACTTACTCCAATGTGAAAACGGGATGTTGGAGTTTTGGATTCAGTCAATGGTTAATGTGAAACACATCAAGGATCTCACACTTGAAAACTTTTCTCCCTCTTGGAAATCAAAATACAGATCCATATGTGCATGGGGACACAGAGATGTAACACTGGATTTGCCTCCTAGGTTATTTTCCCATCCAAGCCTCATATCTCTCTCGCTAGGCTAGTACAGCTTAGAAGCTCCACATGCTTTCTACGATTGTTCGAATATAAAGAATCTCAAACTGATTGGTATCTCTGTTGAGATTGAAGTCCTTGATGCAGTCCTTGTGTCTTGCACTTCTCTCGAAGTGCTTGCACTAAAGATCAGTTCCAACTACAAAACTAGTATTCTGAAGATTGAGAACCAGAACTTAAAGTTCTTAAATCTATCTTTGTATCAGATAAAAGACGTTGAGGTGACTTCATCCAGCCTAGGTATCCTCTCCATTGGATCTCTCTCATGTGAGATAGAGAACTTCGTCATTGCAAGCCCTAGACTCCATTTCAGTCGACACTTTTGGGCTACAATAAAATTATTTCCTCACACTAGCTTTTATATTATCATTCTTTTTATTATCTTTTTGCTAATGTTTTCATAATTTCTTACATATTTTTGCAAAATATTNCCAGCCTAGGTATCCTCTCCATTGGATCTCTCTCATGTGAGATAGAGAACTTCGTCATTGCAAGCCCTAGACTCCATTTCAGTCGACACTTTTGGGCTACAATAAAATTATTTCCTCACACTAGCTTTTATATTATCATTCTTTTTATTATCTTTTTGCTAATGTTTTCATAATTTCTTACATATTTTTGCAAAATATTTATTTATCTCTCAATATTAATATAATACATGCAGTCAATGAACCAAAAATCCATGTTAGAATGTTTCTCTAGTAAATTTGAAAAACATTCTCATAATGACACGTGGTTACCAAAACATGTTGTAATGTTTCTCAATTAATATATAAGAGATTTTCGTTTTTTTTGTCTATTTAAAATAACAGCACAATGGTTACAAAAACAGGTTAATATTCAATGGCTTACATCATTTTCCGCTAAATAGACTATTAGTGAATCCATATAAATGAAAAAAAAAAATATATATATATATATATATATATATATAATTTTCATAATTGCTAAAGTTAGATTTTATAAATGATTATGCATAAGAGTATATGGATTGTTTGGCAACTAACATTAATTGGTTTCATGATTGCCTCTTTTAGTTTGATTAAAATAATTAAAGTTTAAAAATCTTCAATCAATCAAATTATAACAATTTTCTTAAACTTTACATATGATTGACACATAAGCAAAATCAATTAAATGACTTCTCAATTAATATATAATAGGATATGATCAAAATATTGGAGACCCACGGGTCAATTGTTATTGTAGTGAATAGTAAACCTAAGAAAACATGATCTATTGCCATTTGCACCTAGAAGTTATACGTGCATTCAGAAAGTTATACATTAATTTCTATTATAATTCAAAATTGTGGATTCATTATCTGATATGCAATCCTAAAGTATAGTAGTATACAATTCCTTATAACTTGTGACCATTGTAAAGGATCATTGTGGCCATTTGGAAAGATGCACAATCTACCATGACTTACTCCAATGTGAAAACGGAATGTTGGAATTTTGGATTCAGTCACTGGATAAATTGAAACACACCAAGGATCTCACACTTGGAAACTTTTTTCCCTATTTGCAATGGAACAACAGATCCACATGCCCATGGGGACACAAAGATGTAATACTAGATTTGCCTCCTAGGTCATTTTCCTATCCAAGCCTCACATCTCTCTCGCTAGGCCAGTACAGCTAAGAAGCTCCACAGGCTTTCTACGATAGTTGGAATTTAAAGAATCTCAAACTGATTGGTATCTATGTTGAGATCGAAGTCCTTGAATTTTGATGAAGTCCTTGCATCATGCACTTCTCTCGAAGTGCTTGCACTAAATATCAGTTGCTAGTACAAAATGGGTATTCTGAAGATTGAGAACGAGAACCTAAAGTTCTTACATCTAACTTTTATAGGATAAAAGGCATTGAGGTGACTTCACCCAGCCTAGATATCCTCTCCATTGGATTTCTCTCATGTAAGATAGAGAACTTAATCATTGCAAGCCATAGATTCCATTTCAATCGAAACTATTGGGTTATAGGACACATTCATCACACTAGCTATTATAATATATCATGTCCCCATCCGGTACGTATATATTTCTTTTGTAGGCTATTGTACTATTTTGATAGATAGAGAAAAAATGGTATTGATACTTGACTTTTTTTTGACATATATGTGAATATCAGAGAAAACAAGCATTGGACATGAAACCATGATGAACGGACCCAATTTTTATATGAAAATGTCTGCATCAATGTCGGTGAGTGTAGACTTGACTAATGCAAAAGAAGCTGAGATGCTTAAACAAGTGTTAGTTGTATGCCCTGTAGAAATGGAAGAAGTTGAGATATTTTTTTGAAGGTATGTTCATCCTATGTTTCAAATTAGAACATGATCATATATAGAATTAGCTGGCCAGTATATATCTAAAGGAACGACATGTTTTTTTTTGTGCTTATATAGGGTAACAATGCTGCTAGGAACGAAAGTGATCAGTCTTACATTGGAAATACACACAACCCGTTTTGGGAAGATACAAGACCGTTTCCCAACGCTCAGTTCCGTGCAGATTCTGTATGGTTGTCTAACTTTAGCGGTTCAAATGAAGAATTTGCTTGGCCTCGCGTATTATAACGCAAGGAACTGTAGTAAGGTGTATGAGGATTAAAACGTTGTCGGTTTCTCCAGCTAAGAAGTTGGAGATGGAAGAGGCAATAGCCAAGCTAAAGGAGCTTCCAAAAGGTCACGATAACCTTTAACATCTTGATGTTCTGATGAGCTTTTGTCTGAATCTAGCCATTGGCTATATTACTACAGATCCTCTTCAGAGTCTGGTTTCAATTATTGCTTTTGGCTTTTCTTTTTATGTTTGAGAGATATTTGGGATGTTAAATAACAGCATACTAGTTTCAAAAGGTTAATAATCAGTGGTTTACATCATTTTTCCGATTATATTTGCATAATAATTATCACATATGGTGCTGTTTTATTTACAAGCCCTGCAGTTTCTCAAAAGAGAGTGTACACAAACATAAATGAAATTAAACGGATAGAAAGGTCACAACAGATCACACAATACTGTATGTCATCAACATTAAAGCCCATCGTTTCATTCTTTTCTTCTTCTCGCTTTACCTAAATACCGGTCGTGGCACATTCTTCATCAACAGACAGCGTTTTAAATAAAACTTTTCTTAAGGTCAGAGGATTCAAGAATCATTTCTTGTAATTCACTGGCACATCATCATCATCATCTTCAAGATCACTGAACGTTACATCTTCATCCTCATCCACAACATGTTTGGTTGCTACGGTGGAGGAGCTAACAGGTCCTGCGTTATCTTCCTCCTTCAACCAATCATCAACATCATCATCATCATCATCATCATCGACTTGAACGTCAATAACTCTAGGTGAAGATCCAGTGACTAGCTTGTCATGGGATGCTGGTACTGGTTTTTCTTCAATCACAGGCTTGTCAACGACTTGTATCTCTTTGCTCTCGATTGGGTGCTTCTCTGTCTCAACCTCAGATGTCTCACTCAAATGTATTGTTTCGACAGAGATGGTCTTAACTGGTTCTTGTGAAGGAACAGTAGGTAACGAAAGAGGTTCAGCGTTCTCACTAGCAGTTCCTGTATCACCACTACTCTCTGGCACCATTACTGCAGCTTTGTTTCTCTTGTTCAGCAGCTCATGGGATAACAGTGCTCTTGATTCAAGCACCTTTATTGAAAAAGGAAAAAAAAAACCCAATGATTCATGTCAAACCTAACTCAAATGCTACTATTGAAGTTCATTTATCAGCCTTAAAAGATCAACATAAGCTCCATTAAAAATCAGATACGCTTCAAAACTTGAAAACAGAGGACAAGACAGTGGAATACAGTAGAATAAAGCTTTACCTGAGGAGTAGAGAGAAGCAAGGCATCATGCTTGCTGAACTTAGGATGCATAAGCACAAAGTAAATCCTCCAGAAGCAATACTCGCTCATGTACGCTGGACAAAGCTCAATCCTCAAAGCAGCTAAACCCGTCGCAACCCTTTCCACGGCCAGCGCGTGCTCATACTGAGCATCAGTCATCTCAAAATCTACAAATAAATCAGAATCAAAAATACAAAACACTTAAAGATCTTCCCCAAACCTAAATCACAATCAAGATACATAATAACTCCAAACCAAGTGATCAGAACAAACACATAAGTGTATATATAGACCATGGATTAACAATTCAAGATAATCAATCACTCAATCTTTCTATTAGATTCCAATTCAGATACCTAATCACTAAATTTATATTATTATTTCTTGTCAGCGTCCACCCATCTATGCTAGATCAAGTGGTGGTCAGACGAGCCGAATCACTAAATCTATCTATTAGATTCCAAAAGACAAAACACTTAAAGATCTTCCCAAAACCTAAATCAACAATCAAAATACATGATAACCCCAACTTAAGTGATCAGACCATAGAATCCCAATTCAAGATAATCAATCACTCAATCTATCTATTAGATTCCAATTGAGCATTACCATCAAAGTTATTATCCTCTTCAGGAAAGGGGAAATCAAGCCAAGTCTCAGGATGCAAAGCAAGATCCCTCGCGAAACCAACAACTTCCTTCGTAACACCAATCACATCTCCAACAACAACCTCCTCTCTCGAATCCCCTCCTCCTCCTCCTTGCCAGAAACTCGATGCCATCTTCGTAATCTCCGATACAGGCAAGTTCCCCGAAAGCTTCGAGATCCCCGTCTTGAACCTTCCTCCGATCTCCACGAAATCGCTCCTTATCCCAGCGATCAGATCCTCCTCCTCCTCGTCGCCCCCCTCCGTCGACTTCCGCGTCTCCTCGGAGGAAGAGGAAGAAGGCGGTGGCGGCGCGAGGAAAGAAGCGACGCCCCATAGCTGAGTTCTGAAGGTCTTCGTGAGCTCGGAGATGTCTTCTTTGACGCCTCGTGGTGACTGTGATTTCAACGACGACGATGGGGAAGACTGTTGATCGGGAGCGGGGTCTTCGATCGATTTGGGCGTAATCGTTTCCTTGTCATCTTCTTCGTCTTCGTCGATCTTGAGGGAATTCGCGATGGATCTGGCTAACCACGCCATGTTTTCTGGATCTCTCTTTCTCTGTGATGTTGATCTCATCGCGACCTTAAGCTAACCTCATTGACGACGCTAATTCCAACCTTGAGATAAGTGGGCTTCGTATCAAAGGCCCATTATTTTCAAATTCCAACCCATCTCTCATTGAAATTTCGACAACTGGTGGTACAATTAGCCAAAATCTATATATATTATAATAGTACACTTTCTAGGCTCCACAATACGACACGTCAGCAGTTTTGTGGATCCCATAGGTATTTTTTAAAAACCTATAGTCTTGGTAAGATGATTACAAACAATGAAATACACTTTAGCCAAGTGGTATAAGGAGTCTAATTAAGCATGCAAGATCGTGGGTTCAAACCATGCAGCCATCATTTATTTTTGATTTTTTTATTTGGTTTATTATCATATGGACTTTTTGTTTGTAAGGTTTTTATGTTTTTTTTTATGGCTTATTGTTTTAAAGATTAAAATAGCTGGATAAACCCTAAAACTTAACGAGTTCAAACCAAAAATAGTTAAAAATAGATGCAAAACGAACAATAAAAAAAACAAAAAAAAAAAGCAAGTCTCACGTGGTTGCCTACGCGGATGGCTTAAAGAACCTTAAAACTATCCTATTATAATATAGTTCAACCCAAAAATAATAAAAAATGAATCCAAAAACGAAGCAACCAAAAAAAAAGTGAATCCCACGCGGCTACCTACGTGGATGGCTTAATGAGGCTTGGTTATTTATTTAATGAATATGTAATTTAAGAGCTCAAAAAGTGAAATCATTGCACATATTTCCTAATATATATTTTCAAAAAATTTGTATGTGAGATAAAATAAAAAAAACAACAAAAATTAATTATTTTGGTTATTTATTTAATGAATATGTAATTTCTCTTACATTTTAATAACTACTATAATTTCATTGAAAACATTCCTCACCACCGATTTCAGACTCCGGCAAATGGATTCCCACAGTCGATGACACCGTAAATAAAAATGACACATCATTTATGAACAAAACTCAAACTTACAAAAAAACATATATAAAAACCTATCTAATGAAACTTAAACAACGAATGTTAACTTAATTAAGGTTATTTTCAAATTGATAAATCGTTTAATACAAATATAAATACTATAAATATAGAATTATATCAAGTTTTGACCTACGATATAAAAACTATTTACAGCAAAAAAAANCACATCATTTATGAACAAAACTCAAACTTACAAAAAAACATATATAAAAACCTATCTAATGAAACTTAAACAACGAATGTTAACTTAATTAAGGTTATTTTCAAATTGATAAATCGTTTAATACAAATATAAATACTATAAATATAGAATTATATCAAGTTTTGACCTACGATATAAAAACTATTTACAGCAAAAAAAAAAACACCTACTTTTACACACTAAAAACTATATTATAGCCTAACTATTCCTATAAACCTTACTTTGCATATAAATAACATTTAACTCATTCCTAAATATATTTTCAAAAAATTTGTAAGTGAAATAAAATAAAAAACAAAATTTAAGTATTTTCGTTATTTATTAAATGAATATGTAATTTCTCTTACATTTTAATAACTACTATAATTTCATTGAAAACATTCTTCACCACCGACTCCAGACTTCGGCGAATGGATTCCCACAGTCGATGACGCCGTAGATAAAAATGCCACATCATTTATGAACAAAACCCAAACTTACAAAAAAACCATATATAAAAACCTATCTAATGAAACTTAAACAACGAATATTAACTTAATTAAAGTTATTTTTAAATTGATAAATCGTTTAATACAAATATAAATACTATAAATATAGAATTATATCAAGTTTTGACATACGATATAAAAACTATTTACAGCAAAAAAAAATAGACACCTACTTTTACACACTAAAAATTATATTACAACCTAACTGTTCCTATAAACCTTACTTCGCATATAAATAACATTTAACACATTAGATATACAATATTTTCACTCTACACTCTTACTACATTCTTTCCATTTCATTATTATTTGGTGTCACTAGAAGAATCCACTAAACCACTAAATCGAAAAAAATATACGCAAACATAATGACTCCGGCCCACGCTTGCGCGGGGAGTATGCAACTAGTAAACAATAAAATTACACTTTTTGTATATTTATTTTTACTAAATCTATGATTAAGATCATAAATTAAATAGCATCGTACCATTTTTTTACCTTCAAAACAACTTAATATAAACATATGAATATTTTCTCCCGAATAACATATGAATAATCATTTTTTATTGTTCAAGAGAAAAGATTCATACGAATTATAATCACACTTAACCAGTGGTGATATCCTAGTGGCGCTTGAGAAAATAAATCCAATAAGACGAACCCGGGTTCAAATCCCACTGGCCACACGGATATGGGTTATTACTTTCGACCCATTTGAATGTCCAGGAGAGGGTCTATCTGTGGAATGTACCTCCACCCGGGAGTTAGGTCTGTATCTTTAACAGACCCGGGTTTAACCCTTTTAATTTCAAAAAAAAAAGAATTATAATCACACTTTTCCAAAAAAAAAACATATGAATAATTATTATTATTGCAAAGAAATACATAAAAAGGTTGGTATTTTGATTTTAAAAAATTGGCGCCCATACATCTCTATGAATATTATGTTTGTCCAAAATGCACTATTATTATTATTAGTAGTAGTAGTTAGTGTTGTTTAAAATTTTCATTTCTATAAGGAACGTCAAGATGAAAAGTCAAACTGGATATATGATGAGCCAGGATATTTAGATCAAATTCATAAACCTGAGTAATCATCTGTAAACAGAAAATATGGAGCTAAATAGTCAAGTGCGAATTAAGAGTATGATATTGAATTATTAAATGTTAACCAAACGAATGGAGTTGAAGAATAAGATCATGGTGTTTATCCAATTTAGCTATGCGCAAAGATAAATAATTGATTGGAAATAAAAGTGAGGTTAGTAACTAACATAAATGTCAAAGAGAGTATGAGATCGATTATGAAGATATATTACTTTTTTATTTACTTTCTACTGTTTTCTTTGATTGCTAATTTGGATTGGTTACTACAGTAATTCGACCTAACATGCATTTTTATATGGAGAACTGGGATTGATTAAAATGTACTGTTTTCTTTGATTGCTGGCTTTTCTGGTAATCAAAAGAAAAACAACTTATCTCTCAAAAATAAACTAGGGTTTTATGTATAATCTTTGTTATCTGTCAAGAAAACACTATACTATGATGAGTTCCCGAACAATGTGATTCAGCTGGTATCTTTGTGGTATTAAATAGCGGATTAGAGTAATGGATTGACCACGAACAACAATGCTAATCACCTGGGTCTCTATTGGAGCGAAATCATATATGGGCGGAGCTATCACACTTACTAAGCAATAAGCCGATAACACGTTTGTAGTTCAAATAAAGTAGGTAAAATGAAGACATTATTTCTCTTAACTATTCCATTAGACTCATGATGTACCAACCAACATCTCTTAAATATTTCTCCAGACTGAAATTAGTGTCCACATTTTATGAGGTAGAGTAGATATTAGTTTCCAACAACACATTAATCTAAACATCTAGTTTCAAGAAAATGTATTAATCACCCAACTAGACACATTTAAGAATATATCACTTTCATAACTTTTGTTGTTTGAAATTCATTTATAATTCATCTGGACTTTGTCTTCTCTTTGATCTTGTCTAACTGTCTTGAAATCTTTGAGCTTTTCTTCGTCTTATATCGCTTTTGATTACATTGAACTTCATATTATAAGTATGTGGAGTATATTATATGTTTGAACCTCAATTCTTGAAAATCGTTCCAATAATGAAAGGAGGATGCATAGAGAAAGAAAACAGCTTTGTATGGTTGGTGAAGGCTCCTTTCCGTATCTTCATCATGGCACGTGACGCCTACATACGCAGCATTACGTCATGTTCTGGCACTGGAATCCTTACCGGAGGTGGATCTCCTGGTTTTGGTCAGCTTTCAGGGAACTTCCAAATCTGCGATCCACCTAGCACCGCCCTTCCTAGAAGTTTTACCTTGTCGCCAGGGCGTGAACAAAGCTGTCCGACAGGTTGTGGACAGCTTAGGACGGCGGCGAGACAATCTTTGCCGTTAGATCGCCGGAGGAATTATAGATGTGTTGCTGTGATGGGACGAATCGAGGAGGAGGTTTCTTGTGATGATGAGTCTGAAGAAGATCATTGACTAAAGCAAGAAGTGATCTGAAAGATTAATTGTCTTGTGTTCAACGGTTGTTGCAATATGGATCTACCAATGTAAATGTCAACTTCACTGTTGTGATGTGTAACAAAGCTCTAGGTGATTCATAATAATATTTTCTGGGAGCCAGCAACAGTTTAAAAGTTAAAACACAAATGACACTGATATCACAATGTACCATAGTATTATGAATCTATGATAGAGACAATTTAACATTTAGTTTTTTTAAAAAATAGTTGACCAACCGATAATTGTTTTGACAGAGTAAATTAAGTTACAATAAACAAATTTACTTTAGTCAGAAGTAATTCACTAAAAGGCCATAACCATTAGGATTATCCTTGGGGTAATTTTTTTGTCATTTTTCAGAGTACTAAAATTCAAAAAAATAAAAAAATGGGAGAAGACTAACCTAAAGTATGCTTCATGATTATACTATATATCCTCATCACTGGTTATTATCGTCCCATTGCTCCTATATTCTATTCAACTTCCCTTTTGTTTGAATGAACCGAACATTAAAATAATTAATTAATCTTCTCATTTTGGTCTTGTACATATACACATAATAATTCAATATCTACTAACAAAGATGGGTTTACAGTGAAGATTTGTACATCCCGGTATGTAAGTTTTTTAACTATTCGATTTCCTGCACCTATTGTTACACAAGAGCAGGGTTAGAACATGTGCCATGTTTATGGAATATTTTGAAGGTGGTGATTCTTGATTCTTTTGGTTTGTCAATAAACTTGTTTAGAAGGAAAATGATTATTGTACATTAATCTTTGCTCTGTTGGTCCATATGGTCTTGTCTCCCATTTGATTTCGGGAAATTTGTCTAAACTTGATCAATTATCATCGTTCTCTGTTAATAAACATACAGGCTTTAGAGATCATTTGCTCCCTAGAGAAACTTCATTATCAAGTAAAAAAAAAAAGAAGATACGACACAGAAAAAATACAAAATTAGGTTAGATCCTTGGGTTGCATATAATGCAGAACAAAGAAATCTCTATTGGGCGAGGCCTGCTTCATCTTTAATGGGCCTTGCTACGAAATACTTATACATAGCTAATGAAGCCCAAGAGATTAACAGTCGGCGATTAACAACGTTTCTTCCACGTGGCTGTTAATGTATTGGTTATGTTTTTGTCAAAGACTTCAACACTGATTAGTTTAGCATTGACATGTGTGGTTCGTAACTGTAAAAACGATTTTATTGCTAAGCTTAAAGAGAGAAGACGAGATTAATGTTCTAATCAGAAGGAATTGACTAATGTTAAATCCGACAGATTCTCTGTTAGCAATTTGAATGAATCTCAAGTTGAGAGATAGAGATCCTGAGTTGAATAAAATGATAAATTTTGAATGTACATATATAATATGTAGATGGCTTAGTCGGAATACATCAGTACAGAAATCGAACGTCATGTGGGATTATGAAAATGATATATGATATATTAGGACTAGACCGTCCTACGGGCGGGATATACTTTATTTGTGATCTAGATTACTATTTTTTATATGATTTTCTGGTTTGTGTTTGATTTTACATTTGCAAAAGATGTGTATGATAGTAATTTTTGTTCGTTTTAAAAGATTTAGGTGACAATAATTTTTGTTCTTTTTGTAAAAGTATATTATTATATATGATTAATTATCTATTATATTCTATTACTAAGATATAAAGTTAGAAAAGTAGATTCAAACCAAAATTTACTTTAAAATCATAATATGCAGGTTTTGATGCTACAAAAGATAATGTATCTTTACGTTAATGGAATTTTTAAAAATATATTTCTTAGTTAAGTTCATAAAGAACTTTGATAAGCATATAACCAATGGTAGTTGGATATGGAGAAGTCTTTAAGATACAAGTCATTGTATTGTTGTCTTACACCCATGTGGAAATAGTGTCGAAGAATTATTTTTACAGTTGTAGAGGGTGCATTTTTGATTAAATATACCAATTTGGTGGTTCGTAAGTTGCAGTAAACTTACTCTCTGCAGCTAACATATCAATTGATATACCAAGTGTTATTAACTGAGTAGATTTCTTCCAAGGTAGTACTGTAACTGATAATGATTTCAGTAGAAGAATATCCAGAGAAAGGATTAAAGAAGAATCGTAGTATAGAAACAATACTATATACAAAAGCACAGACCAAATTCTTGGGTACATTTTTATGCTTTTTATATATTAGTAAATATGATAGACCCTACTTGCTGTTAAGGCTCTTTATATTTAGACAAAGGTAGTTTATGTTTCCAGTTTAGGAGAAGGCTACACATCAAATATAGCTTCTAGTTCATCAAAGCACAGCAGATCTCTGTTTTGTATTCATCCTCTTTTGACCATCTATATCTCAGTAGCCGTACAAATGCAGCAGCTACACATCTATTTCTTTCTGCAAGAGTTCATGTCTGTCATGTTTAACGTGCTAAAGGATGATGCAATCGTGAGACAGCCTTCATACTTTGAAAAGGAAGAAGATTAGATGACATAGGGAAAGAAATATCTACCTAAGACTTCTTCATGTACAATAGAGTAAGAATCGAGATCTGTATGTGTTCTGTTTTAACTGATCCTAAACCACAATATAAAAACTATTACAGTGCATTAAGAAAAAAAATCAGTTGCAAAAGTATTCTTGTAAAAAATAGAATTGCAAGTGCCTCACTTTAAAAAAAAAAGGTAGCTTCTGCATTAGTTTCCTTGTCAAAAAACACATGTGTTCCCAAGGTGGCATTCAAGAACAAACGTCCTGCAGAAAAATACATGTGTGTTTTAAGAATATTAGGCCCCTCACACGTAAACACTAAATTTTAAAATTAGTATAAGTGATAGTATGCATGTGTTTTTAATTCCAGACAGAAATATACCTCCTACCATCTTGGGTTTATGCTACTTGCAACAACAATCCTTAGATCTCCCCGGAAGTCTTCAAGTTTCTTGTGAAAAGAGACAACTTGTGAGTCAAAAAAACTCAAAGTGACAAAGATATGTGTGTGAATAGGAAGCTCAGATCATAAAATGGTCAATATATATTCAAAAGGAAAGTTAGATAACTTATGAAATTTTTGAATAGATTCAAATATAGAAGAGAGTTACATGTCGATCTTGATAGCCACCATAACTCGCTCTTTTACATGAGGAATGTCACTCACTGTACTTCTCACAGCAGTGAGCTCACCAATAACATCTGAGAGATTAAGATCATCTTAATTAAGTATCTGTTTCAATGATAAGTCTGTCATAAACAGTCTTTAAGAAGCTGTACCTAGGCCAAGAAAGTTGCAGCAGTTGGATTCAAGAAGTGAGGGTAGTATACTTTCCCATTCCAAACTTCACTGAGATAAGGCTCACCTTCTCGTTTAATGAACACATATGCAACCATTCCTCTGTTATATGTCCCGTAAGAGGAGCTATTCACACCAAGCAAGCCCAAGTTTTCTATCTCTTGAATCAATTTGCAAGAGACTCTAAGAGATTAGTATTAGTTTATACTTGGATCCAAGATCAGCACGTATTTCTGACCATTCTTGTGAAAGTGTATTAACGAATGATTTCATCTTGTCTTCAGGGAAGTTCACATGGTCCAAAGTGAAGTCTTTGAAGCCGTCCATGTAATCAATGTCTTTCCACGTAACCTCAAGAGGTATTTCAGCTTTTGCATATCCATCAACCACAGATTCAAGGTCTGAAACATTGTTGCATCCATACCTACGCTGATGAAATCCTACACCAAAAATATATCCCAAATGAAGTAAGTAATTATACAAACATTTTCAAAGCAAAACAACATCTCATCTGCAAGGTTAATGGAGCAACATGTATCATTTGCCAGTGACTACGAAGAGTTCTTGATCCGTCCAAACCATGTAATTAAACTATTTTGGAGATCAAATCTCTCTCAACGGAGCTTGAACCTGTGACCTCAGATCCCTACCATTGTATATCACCAAAAGTGAAAATGCACAAAGAAAAAAGAGCTCTTACCAAATGACCAGTAAGGCATAGGTGCAGGTCTTCCAATAAACTATGTATACTGATTCATCGACATCTCCAGCGAATGTCCAATGAACACGTAAAGATCGATGATACCTCCAATCACATTATAAGTAATCCTACTTCCATCATACCTCACGTCCATTCCATTACTGTTCAGAAACACAACACCGTGAGTAATCCCTGCTTCATCGTGACTGTTAGATCCTCTCACATCCATGTAAAATGGGTGCGATCGCTAGAGGCTAACATCCGGATTCTCGCTGCCGATGTCAGCGTTCCACAGAGTCATCGCATCGCCCGGGATCAGCTTGAACGATCACTTAGTGTGCTCCCGGAGTATGTACAGATTCGATCGGGATTCCGGTAAGGCAGAAGTTAGTTGGAGGAATTGGTCTTTGAAGACGAAGTAAGTGTTTGGATCTGTTGGATCCGGCGACGCGTCGAAGAGGACGTCTGGAGACAGAGAAACCGAAACGCGTCGTGTTGTGGAGTGTCAATATTAAGTCTGATGATGGATTTATTTGTAATAAGCTGTGTTTTGGTCAGACCAAGAAAAATGGATCACCCATCAATGTTTCTTGGAAAGAGATGGACTTTGGGGTAAAGGCTGTCTGACGTGGACTTTCCACGCTGTCGCCTATGTGGATAGCCTTAGAGGGAGTGATGCTTTACTTTATATAATAGATTATTTTCGTATATTATTTTTGTAATCCCACATGAAACTCGTTTTTTATGTTTAGACAGGTTTGTAAAACCAATTTTAATAATCTAAACTTATAAATTTATAAATTTTCTTATTTTATAAATTTATAAATTTTCATTACTCCAAAACATAACTTCCTCATGGCCCCGTTCTTATTTTTATCTTCTCTTCTGTAGATCTCACAGAGTATTTACAAAAAAAATATTGTTCTATTTCTCTCTCTCTCTCTTAACAAACCAAAATCGCACAACCATTGTTGATTATTAACCTCAATTCTTGGCCATAAGATTAATAAGAGACACAAAACTATTACAACATCACTATAAAAATAAGATTCTGAAATTATTCCCAAAACTACAGTGAATTATTGTAATCAAATCCAAAATAGAGAGATATGGTAATTTTCTTAATTATAGTACTTATAACTCAAGATTCCGGCAATATCATGTATATATTACAGACGAGGTTAAGAATCTGAAAAGTTCAGTAGGTAAGACCTAATAGGCATATTTTTCATAACGAAGAAGGTTCCATCATTGAATCGAAGGGAGAAAGGGGCATCACACATCCGAAATTTGAGGTTGTTGTGTGTTACATCAAACCATCTCAACCTGTATATTGACCATTTGCTGAGACGCTACCTAAATATGAGCTGACGGTTTGCATTAACAAAACCTTGAATAACTGTCGACTGTTGGAAATGAAAAAAAAAAACAAAATTTTAGACAATCATAAGGATATGCTTACATTCTCGTCGATAACGAGCATGTCTAGACTCCTGAGCTCACCGTCTTTCCTCACATTTATGGCCTCCTAAAACCTCAGCAAGCAAACCTCAGCGGTGTCAGAATAGTGTTCAGCTTTCAAATCGGAAAGGAGGATGGAATAAATCGCCATTGTAGCAATCATAAAGTTGAACATACTTTTCTTCTGGTGCTCGTCGAAGCTGTGCTTTTAATATCTGGAAGAAGGAATAGTTATACTCACACCTCTACTTTGTTACTTTGGGATGCGATGAGGTGGCTTCAATGTTCCAAAATGGGTTAATCACTTAGAAAATAGGAGAAAAGAAGATGTGAATCAATCGTCAAGACGTTATGGAGAGTTGATAACCTTCGTCAGTTTATCTAAAGATCTCAAACGAAGGTAACGAACAAACTTATAATGTTAAGAGACTCTATACCGAGAATTCAAATACAATCTACAACAATAAAAGCACAAAAATTATATTTTACGAATAACATAACTTCTTTGTGAAGTCCAAAACAATCTTTGTTTTACAAATTAAAAAAAAAATCTAAAATTTTAATTATGGGATAGGTGTTTTTTTTTCCTCCATGAAGAAAAAAAAATCTAATTTTATTATATAAGATTTATTATTCACTCTCCAGGCGACTCTGAGTTCGACCTCTCTTTGTTCTAATCTTACATTTTGTTCTAATCCAACATTTTACTTAGCAATTCCTTTTTCTGGAGGTTACTTTTTTTTCTGTCACTGCTAGTGCTGGAGGTTACTTAAAACTATGCTGTTGTTTGTTATGTCACTTATGCGTCTCTTTCCGTTTTGAATGAGTCTAAAACTGCTTATGTAAAATTTGCAGCTGGCTATTCTTGCGGATGCCTTTGTATACCTGTTCGGAGCATTGTCATGATTCTGGACTGTCATGAACTTTTTTCCTGACAGAAAAAACAATCATATATCAATCTTTCTCTTGGACTATCCGAGTTTTGTTCATTTGTTTTTCATCTCTACAACTTATGATTCCTCTTTAGTTATATATCAAACATGATGTCATGATCATGTGTAAATTAACAAAGCCTCTAGGGGTCTAATTTCATTGTTACTAACAATTAAGCCCGGTATTTATTTTATTGTCTTTTGTAGGAATCAAAGAGAAGCCGTCAAGGACAATATCATTATCAGATTCTCCACTAAACCACGCATAGAGTTTTACAAACTTATCTCATTGCACAAACTTAAAACATATTATAATATTCTAAGTTGGTTCCATGCTATTTTGTTAAACAACGTGCTCTCAAGAACATATGATAATCATGTGATGAGCTGTGATCAGTCTCCAAAATAGCTAAACAATGCATAAAACTAAAGAAATATGAGAGTTACATGACTAATTTATCATCCCATAAATAATTTCTTCATCTCTATGCAATCATACCAATTTACAAAATCACTAGGGGTAACTTGTAGTGAGAAAAATGTTTGCTTGTGGAAACATTAATCTTTCTTTTTGACACAAGTGGAAACATTAATCAAACGCGCTTAATTGTCTGCTTCTGAAAGAAACCTCTAGTTGAAACCTCTGATACAATTAAGCCACGAAGATGGTTCCTTAGGTTCTGAAAAGTAGAAACCAGTGAGACTTCTTCAACCAGTAGGGCAGTGATAGTCTTGTAACTGTAGGGTATCATCCAAAGGAAATATATAACAAAATAGTATAATACTTGTTGCTTTTTTAGGTAACAAAAAGCAACAATATAAACATAACGTTGTAACATGTAACATTCCTAATCTGTTTTTGGTTTGCTTGTATACAAAGCAACAAGCATATACTAGTGAAAAGGTTTCATTTATGGCTGGATCGTAATTTCTCATGCTGGTTTGTGCAGAGTATGTATCAAACCTATATCTTTACAATGGGACATATTTCAGTTTGAAATACATGATGGATTTGGAGAAGAAGAAAAAATATGTTGACCAAGAATTAAGACTACGTTTTCTCCCTTGTGTAGTCATCAATGATGGGAAACTCAGTATAGATTAACATCAACTTGAATAATTCAAGATGATGTATGATATAATTACAATAAACGAAGGAAAAAGTCATCACTTCGGTAACGAGTGAAATTTCTATAGCATTTTAATTCGAATGATTCCACAAAGTGAGTTGGCCGTCCTCTCTCACTTGTAATATTTTTTAGTTATAGTCAGTCAAATCTATAAGATCTAAGATTAGTCTATGAGAGAACATGCCTTTTGTCTCCTAAACCTTCTTTATTAATATCAATAATCCAATTTTATTCCATTTCACAGCGAAGATAAGCAGAGCTTTCAATATAAGCAAAAGACAAAACCTCAGATAAGATCATAGCAGAGAAGAAGATGTATCAAGATCAACAACATCCCGTTGGTGCTCCTCCTCCTCAAGGTAATTCCCAATATTGTTTACATTATTTTTCTTGTGTTCTTGAAATGACGTTATGGTTGTTTTATAGGGTATCCTCCAAAGGAAGGATATCCACCACCGGGATATCCTCCAGCAGGTTATCCTCCACCACCGCAGGGATACGGTCAGGCATATCCAGCACAAGGGTATCCTCCTCCACAATATCCTCAAGGTCCTCCACCTCAGTATCCTTACCAGGGCCCTCCGCCCCCACAGTATGCCCAGGCTCCGCAAAAGAAGAAGAAAGATAAAGATTCAGGATTTGTCGAAGGATGGTGCGTTGACTCAATCTCTATCTCTTCTTTTGTTTGCTTTGTATAATACCACCTTTTTCACCATTCACACACTTTGCTCATAAACGTAAACGGATTAGTTCGCTAGTTTAGTGCAACCATTAAAAGTTTACATGTATGCTTATGAATGTTACTTATATTCCCTATATGTGTGTGTTTGTATGACACAGTTTGGCTATGCTCTGCTGTTGCTGTCTTTTGGAAGCTTGCTTTTGATAGAAGGATGAGATGATATTTGCCGTTGACCGTCTTCGGATGCCATTGTATTCTATAAAAAAGGTGTTTGATCAAAACATTTTGATATCTTCTTCTTGATAAGTGTGTGTGTGTGTGTGTATATGTGCGTTCACGTTTTGTGTTTGGTTCTGTTCTTTTTGCTTTGGTTATGAGTTGATTTTTTTTTACTACAGGTCTTGTTTTATTTTATTGATCAGTATTTGTTTGATTAAGGGTTCGTGTCACTTTTGTATAAAACGCATTAATTTTTTCAGTAGAGGAACAATGAATAACCAACTCGTTTTTTTTTGCCTCCTAATTCTCATCAAATGTGAGAAGGGTGACCGAAGAATCTGATTTGAAATCAAAGTCGATGACATAGCCAAACATACACACTTTTGACATGAGAAAAACAATAGTTCGAGAGGAAGCTTGCAAATAATTGCATTAATACATCTATTTCATATTTCAAACAAGCAAGATTACCCTTAGGTCAAACTAATTAAGAAAACCCTTCATGCACACAACATGCATCGGAAACGGAAATCCTTTTAATCCACCACGATTTTTTCTCTTTCGGACAAAAACCACTAAATATTTTCAATTTGGCCATCAAACTTAAAAACCTCATGCTAACGGTCCAGTATTACTCATAACATTTATTTTCCCGTCTTCAATATTGACCTAAACTTGCATTAGCTACATGAAATTTGATTCATAAAAGTTTAAGATGGGTACATGTATTTAGAATTTATTGAGTGAAATAAATTTGTTGCTCTATCAACATTTAGCAATTGTTGAAGGTGACTGTGCATCTGTTAAACAAGTTTGAAAGGTTCTAAAAAGTTAAACAACCAATGATAAGATCTAGGGAAATAGGAAAACCATGGAAGACTTCTTTATAATCAATCACTAATAACATGATTAATCCGGAGTTTGTAGAGTGAAGTTCTTAGCGAAAGTTAAGAAATTTTTCTTAATTTTCGCTCAGAACTTCAATCTAAAAATCTCGGGTTAATCATGGTCTAAAGCCTTTTTAAAGCTTGTAACATCCCGAGTTGTGATATATGCAAAGGCTTAAAAGAACTGATTTGGTTAGCTATGTCACCAAAGTATACTTACCTTTTCGGGAGCACATCCAAAAATAACTTCAGAATTAAGCGTGTTTGAATTGGAATAGTCAAATGATGGGTGACCTATCGGAAAGTGATTTACGATACCGTGTAAGTGAGGCCAAAGCACGAGGAAAGGTCATGCGGTGATTGCAAGGTTAGTAAACATGACTCTAGAGCCTTGAAAAATTAAGGGAGAAAATTAAGGGACCGGCTCTTGGAATGGGCATGGGTCAACGGGCCGAGAGTGCGGGCGTGGATGGCCCATTAGCCGTGGACGGTCGGGGCGTTACACATCTACCAACCAAATCATCAAAAATGGAATGAAATCTATATATTTCTATACTATTAGATTGCCTATTATAAAAAAAAAAACTTTAATAAAAAATCTTTTAAAAACTTACTACAATAGATTGAGATATAATTAATTTTAATTTTAACACATAGATCTTCCTACAATAAAATATTTAGGCAAACTATAATTTATCAACCAAAAGAAGAAAAATATGAACACAAAATTATATTCTTATGACTATTTGGGAAATAATCCCAATCTTATATTGATTTTAAGTAGGTCAATGAAAACAATATTCTCCTACTATATATTGTTATCAAACTTTCCTTATTCCTAATGAGTCAAATGTTATTTCACAAAGTCAAATTTGCAAAATGGAGAAAGTAAAAGGGTTTCAATCACCAACCCAATATAAAATCGAGAATTCATCCTCTCCCTAAACTAAACTGAATCGAAAACAAAGGTCAAAAAGTCCCTTCGTTTTTATTATTATCCCTCCCTCTCCCTCCCTCCTCCTCCTCCTCCTCCTCGTCTTCTTCATTGTCTCTTCAACAAATCTTAGATTCAGAAATTTCAATCCCATGTAAAATCTCTGACATTTCTGTTAGATCTCTAATTCAGTTGTAGAAAGGGATTTGCTTCTTCTTTTTTTTTTGGTTCACCGTTAAGTTATAGAGACAAGAAGTAGAGACATTCCAAGTTCTTGTCTTTATTGTTGTTTCGTTTCTGGAGAATTTTGTAATAAAAAAATGGGAGCACCGAAACAGAAGTGGACATCGCAAGAGGAATCAGCTCTTAAAGCTGGAGTTCTCAAACATGGCACTGGCAAATGGCGCACCATTCTCTCCGATCCTGAGTTCACTTCTGTTCTCAAGTCTCGCTCTAATGTTGATCTCAAGGTAATAAAGAGAACAACTTTAAAAACAGAACCCCTCATTAGAAAAAAACTAACTTTACATTTGTAAAAACAGGACAAATGGAGGAACATAAGTGTAACAGCTATATACGGATCTAGGAAGAAGGCTAAGCTTGCACTTAAAAAAAATCCTACCGCTCATGATGATGATAACGCTACTGCTCTTACCATTGTTGCTATCGCTAATGGTCAACAGATTTCTCCTCCTCCTCCTCCTCCTGTGGTTTCTTGTTTACCACCACCAAGAGATTTTGAAGGACTCTATACTAGGTTTTTTGAATTTTAATATTAAGTTTCTTGAGGATAGTTTCTGAGCTCTGAAAGTATGTTTTTGTTGATGTTGTTGTTAGTGTGGATAAGATGATATTGGAGGCTATTACTAACTTTAAGAAACATTTGGGTCCTGATGGAAAGTCTATCTTGCTCTATGTAGAGGTATTCTTTATATGCTTATTACTTGAGTCATTTATATATATCATCAAGGACTTAGTGTGGTTTGTAAACCTTTTTAAGGAGAAACACAATATGCAACCTGATATGAAACGGCTTGTGACTTCAAGACTTAAGCATTTGGTTAATGTTGGAACACTAGTTAAGGTAAGAAAGATACACTTTGATTGCTTATAAAATTCAAATGTTGTCATGATTAAGTTAGGTTATGTTCTGGTCTCTCAGATAAAGCACAGATACAGGATTTCTAGGAACCATGCGGCTGCAGGAGCAAATCAAAGCTCTCCTCGAAGCCTTTTGGAAGGAAACAAGGAGAACGATGTTCAAAATCTAAGTAGATCACAGGTAGGTGGAGAGGTGTTTATGATAAATGGCATGACAGCACAAGAAGCTGCTGCAGCTGCAGCAAGAGCCGTGGCGGAAGCAGAGTTTGCAATAGCAGAAGCTGAAGAAGCGGCTAGAGAGGCAGATAAAGCCGAAGCAGAGGCTGAATCTGCACACATTTTTGCCAAAGCTTCAATGAAAGCTTTGAAGTATAGGATGCAATGTAAGAAAATCGCTTGTCAGTTCTTCACAAATTGTATGAAAAAAAAAGCTCTATTGATTTTAATGTTGTATATTATTCTTTCTTTTGCAGGTAGTGAGACAAGATAATGTCAAAGTTTGAATTTTGCATCTCTGCAGTATTTTTTTGGGATTAGGAACAGTGTATATTCTGCAGGTTGTAATGTGTTCTAACTCAGAAGATTATGTAAAACAATTTGTCCATTGTTCTGTTTATCTTTTCTTTGTAGTAACTTCACAAGGTTTCTCGTAGAAACTGGTTTGAAGAGAAATAAATAAAGCCTTTCGATTCATAGAGCTTATTTATGCTTCCTTGAGTTTAAATTTATAATTTATATAAAACTGAAACACTTTGTTATTTGTGTGTTCCAAAATTGCAAATGCTCAAGCATAATTTGTTAATTAGTTTTTCCTTGTTATATAAGCATGGAAAGTTACAAATAACTTGATCCTCATATTATAGTTCGAGTAAGTCTTATTCAGATCGATTTCACCGTTGACGTATTTCTGAATAAGTCGAACATCCTTGCTTTTTTCTTCTTTTGTTATTGCTCCCTTCATTTTCAATCACGTCACTGTTCTCCTCTTTTTCTTTCCATTGTGTGAATGAATTTTTTTTCCAAGTGTTAAATAAAGTGGAATGAACGTATGATTGAGTTTATACGCCTTCCGATTCATTTTAATTTTCATTCTACGTTTTTACACACAGATTAAGGAAACATTTAATCTTACATATTTTCAAAAAAAAACACAATTACCTATACACCTAACCACTTTTCAACGAATAGAAAAATAGAATATCATATAAAACTAATAAATATTATCTCGAAACTCTAAAACGACACTTATTTTGAAACGAAATTTTTTCTCCAGAATGACAATTAATTTGAAACGGAGGGAGTAGTAGATTGTGAAAAAAAAAATTCCAGTAATGAATTGAATTAGGGAGATATTTATAATCTTCCATTTTTGTACATATGAAGTTTTGTTTAGTATTACTTGGTATGCTAAATGAAATGATAAATAAAGGTCAAGACAAAGGAAAGCCCGTTCGTTAAGATCTCTCTTCTTTTTGGGCAAGTCTCGTGTGATTCTGTGAATAGTAACTTAATTTGTCACAAAAAAAGGTAATACTAAGCTTGTTCAACAAAAGTTTACGTAACATGATTTTCCAGAAACTTTAATAAAAATAACAAACATAGACATTACAAATTATGAAACCAACAATGTTTATTAAGAGAAAAAAAAAAGAGGATAAAATTACAAATAACAGACATTTGACGAAGTAGTTACTAGGGTACAAACTTGACGAAGCATCGATAGCTGAGTTTAACGGGCTATGAACCACTCATATTTGTATGAAGTGAATATATACCCGATCACTACTCCACAAAACAAACCAGGCACACATGCAATTGCAGCTGCTATCCAGTTCAGCACTGGCTCTTCTGGTTCCAACAAAGATTCCTGGTGTACCTGCGGCGGTTTTGGAATAGTGACATGGATTTCTCCACAAATTTCTTCGAGACCATGGAGTTTTGGATTACCCACGAATGAAGAACATGTTTGTGTTTGAAACTGTGTGCTCCCTGGCAACGATCCTTCTAGATGATTATAGGAGAAGTTGATGTTTGACAGAAACGAGAGTTTCTCAAGACCAAGAGGTATTTCACCAGACAAGTTGTTTCTCGATAGGTCTAATGTCTCGAGGATTGTAAGATTTGCCAAAGACGGTGAGATATTGCCTGAGAATTCATTCCCTGAAAAGTTTAGGAGAATCAAACCGTCCAACAAACCAATGGACCGGGGGATATGTCCCCAGAAGCGGTTTCCAGAAAAATTGATGGCTTTGAGGATCGTAGGGATCTGAGAAAAATCCGTGGATACTCCTTTGTACACCAACTCGATCGAGTCTACAAACCCACCGTAATCTTCGCCCATGTATGATATGGAATGTTCATCCGTCAACAAATGTGACATTGAAGACCAACTCAAAAAATAGTCTTGCGGCAATGATCCACTGAAACGGTTGTTAGATACGTCAATAATTGTCAGACTTGGGAACCCTAAATAGGCAGAAGGGTGATAGACTGGACCGTGGAATGCGTTTGATCCGAGCATAAGAATTATTAGTAATCTGAGAGAGCTCAACCAAAATGGGAACGTGCCGTTGAACTTGTTTTCTTTCACATTCAGAGAGTACAGAAAGCTGCAATTCATCAAGGATTTCGGTAGCTCCCCGGCTAACTTGTTGCGGCTAACGTCAAGTAAATGTAACTCAGGGCCATCAAAATATGGTAGAAGTCCACTGAAACTGTTGTTTCGCAGTTTAATTGCTTCGAGCATGATATTAGAATTCAAACATTGAGGAATGACACCAGTGAAATTGTTGTTTGACAAATCTAACACATGTAGATATTTGAACTTGCAGATCCATTGGGGAAATGGTCCTTGGAATGAATTTGAACCTAGACCCAGTACATTTAGTGTTGTCCCATCAGCAACTTCAACTGATTCACCGAAGCTGCTAAAAGAGTTGTGAGAAAGCACCGCAGAGCTTAACATAGACGACATCCAGAACCAATCTGGCACTTGACCTACCAACCTATTGTGCGAAAGGTCAAGTATGGTGAGGTTGGCTAATTTAGATAGACATCTAGGGATGTGTCCTTGGAAATTGTTATGGCTAAGATCTAAATATTCAAGATTGCCTAATGTCGATATAGATCCTGGGATTAGTCCGTCAAGATAGTTGTAGCTGACATGGAATTCTGTAAGCTTCGATGATGAAATATTCCCAAAATCAATAGGTCCCTCTAGTTGATTGTTGGTAAATTCAATATTGAATAAAGAAGAAATCATGAGCAGGGATGAAGGAAAAGGTCCATGAAATGAGTTGTAACTCCCTACGAATTGCCCCAAGTTGTGGAGTCCACTTAGGTCAACGGAAAATAAGGATTTGAAGTCATTGGAAGAGAGGTTTATATTGAATAAGCTGGTTAAGTTGGCTAATACGATACACCCACCAGTGAATCGATTTCCATTTAGGACTAACTGAGAAAGCTTTGTGAAGTTGGCAAACGAATTAGGAATATTACCACGTAGATAATTATTGGAAAGATCGATCTCTATTAGTTGGTTTAGATTACCGACTGAAAGCGGAACTTCACCAGATAATTGGTTATAAGAAAGGTCAAGATGTGTGAGATGAGAAAGATTTCCTATTGAAGAAGGGATCTCTCCGTGGAGGCAGCCATGTGAAAGATCAAGATAGCTAAGATGTTGGAGTTGAAAAAGACTATTACCAGAGTTTAAAGTGACGTTGGTAGCCTCGATCATGAGACTAAGTGAAACCACAGCCCCTGATTTTTCATCACAGGTGACACCCCACCAAGAACAGCAATCGGTGCTCGTGTTCCATGAAACTACACCATGATTGTCGGTAGGGATCTGGAACTCCTTTTTTATCTTTAAAAGAATATCTCTCTGGTCCTGGCGGCATAGGGGCGGTGTCGGAGAAGCAAATGTATTTAATAAGAGGTGGAGGAGAAAAAGGAGATATGTGAAAGTAGTAGAACGAAAGTTATAAGATTGGCTTCGAATCATGACTTTTTTGGTAAACAAAGACATAACTAATTGTTCAATTTGTAAGTAGTGTACATCTCTTTGTTTCGGCGGTTTCTTTATAGACGTAGCATTCTCTGTAGGGAGGTTGACTCGGCAAGTATTCCATTGCATTATTTGCTGTCCTAACTCCAACAATTAATGAAGGGTAGTAAAAATCAAACATTTGAAGGTGGTTGACTAGGTCAGTCGTCGAACTATGTTTGTGTGGACGAAACGAAAGTGGTCCAATAGCATATCTCTACGTATATATGTATATAGACACTAGATTTTACTGATAGAATATTTGTTACTTTGACTGAACTTATATGTATTAAAAATATTTTTGCACTTAAAACAGTTTTTTTTTTTTTAATTCTATCTACATACACAATATGATTTAACTAGTTAATGCAGTGATAAAAATTGAATTTTTTTAAAGAAAATCCATATTTAAAGAATTACTAAACCCAAGATTAACCGGTAGAACAGATGGATAATTGATATATAATATTTCAACAAAAAATAAGTTATATTTTTTCGTTGTTTTATAGATTATTTGAATATTTTAAATTATTTAATTTATATAAATAACTTGAAATTTTTTTGTTAGAAATTAATAAAAAGATAAGAACTAATATTTTTCATTATTTGGACACAAAATTAATTATATTGTTGTTTGGAAACATTGATAGTAATATAAAAAACGAGTATAGTGTTTGGAAACATGTATATTAGTATAAATAAAAGAATATTGGTGATTTAATATAGATTTAACTATAAAATAGAAAGTGTATTAATTTAAATCTTTCAAAATAAATGTTAGGTCCAACACAATGTTTCTGATTTATATATATATATATATATATATATATATATATATATATATTTAAGGGACTATATTATTTATCGATTGTAAAATAACGAATAAAAATGTTGGTCTCTTAAATATATCATAAGTCTGGGCATTCGGAAATCCGTCGGTTTTGGTTCGACTGATTTATATTTTCAAATTTTTGTTTTTATGTTTTTCCTGCCCATTCAGGTTTTACTAATTATCGGATTGGTTTTTGGTTTGGTTCCTACTGGATTCGGTTTGGATCGGATTTTAACCAAAATCTAAAATCATCCCAAAATATATTTTTGAAACCTCAAAATTGTTAAAAAAATGTCAAAATATTTAAGTTGTTCGTAAATCTAATTTTAAATTAGTTAAGCTATCTTAACTAACTAAATGCTATTCAAAATAAAAAATAAAACAAACTATAAAAATATTTTGAATACAATAAAATATCTAAATTGCCTTCATATATAAAAAAACTATTAACATATAATACTAATTTCAGATATCTTCGGACCTAGTTCGGATTTCGGTTCAGATTATAACCAAATTTCAAAATACTAAGATCATAAAGCATTGTTCAGAAAAATTATAACAGTTACATTGGATATTATGGAGAAATAAGTATTAGATGAGTGATCAAATCTTTTATTTTCTTGAACAAACTCAAAAAGAGGTGATTGGATTTGTCATGGTATTTCATTAAAAACATTTTAGGAATAAATATCAAGACTAAATTATTTAATTTGAATGAAATAACGTAGTTAGTGTTTCCGGTATTAAAAAGATCAATTCGTTTTAAAGAAGTGTAATTCGCGGATTGTTAGGATCAAATAACATATTAGAAACTACCTATTTAAAAATTAATTTATATACATAAAGGTATCTACTTTATTAAAATAGAGTCCTATTTTTATCTACCATGAAAGTTGTTATTTAAATTTTGGGCTTATTCATAGTTCTACCATTTAATATACATAATATACTTAATATTAGTTTTATATATTTTTAAAATAAAAATACAGTCACTTATATACTTAACCACATTTTAACCAATAAAAAATAAAAAATAGATAAAACTAATAAATTCTACACTGAAACTATAAAACGACATTTATTTTACAAGGAAAAATTTTCTCAACAAATTAAATGAAAAAGAGTGAGTATTAATTTCGTTCAGCTAAAAACCAAGTATTTCTACAATGGTCGGAGTTATTTTCCAATTGATATAACGGCCTATGGTAATAACATATATTCAGTTGGTCTCAAAATGACTAGTTCAAATATTTAGTTTTGATACTTAATTCGGATCGGATCTGGTCGGACTCGGTTCTTTTGAATCTTAAATATTTGAACTCAATAAAAAATTAAAAAAAAATTCGGTTTGAGTTTGGTTCGAATCCTATCGAATATGGTATGCCCTGGTCTTAGATATTTGGACCTGCTAGTGTAATCAGAAAATTTTGATCCAGATTTTGTTCGAGTTTGGTTCGGATCTTGTTGGATCCGGATCGATTCAGGAATTCAAGAAGGATATTGTTTTTGAACATTTTTTAGAATTTTCATATAAATATCCACGTATTCGTTATTGTGTGGGACACTTAGCAGTGCTTTAATATGGTCTAGTGGTTTTTCAACGGAAGTTGGGACTTCAAGTGTTGGTTTGATTTTCTTGATTGAAGTTTTGGTTAATAATACTAGAGATTTTCTTGATTGAAGTTTTGGTTAGTAAGAGCATCTGCAAAAAAGAACTTTATTTTGAAGTTTCATAAACACTATATTTGAAGTTTCAAAGTGTTTTTCTCTAAAAGAAAAATTTTAAAACTAACTTCAAAATTATTTGTATATTACATTATAGTCCTTATATTTTTCACAGTTAATAAAAATTCATAAAAACTTTGATAAATAACTAATACATATATAAAAATATTACAACAATATTAATTAATAAAAGTTTACACTAAAATATAAAACTAGAAATAGAAATATTAAAATACAAGCATAAGACCACATTATTTCATAAAATTATCTCTGACATCACCAGATAATTGAATTATGAATGAAAAATGAAGCAAAAAAGTTAGCTTTAAAAGAAGTAAAAGACGAAAATAAAATATTGCTAAAAACTTAGCTTATATCAGTGATATTAATACTCATGAATACATTCGTTCTGAACAAGAAAGAATCATACGAAAAAGACATCAAGAACAACAAGAACAACCATCTTCGGTTACAAAAAAATTGTTTTGATTTGAAAATTTATGGAGTTTCCAGGGGAGATTTACCAGATTATTAGTGTTGTTGTAATATTTAAATTTCTATAATAATTATGTTTTCACGTACCTTTTTAGAAAATAATTTTAATTAAGTTTGTTTTGTAATATTCTTGTTGTCAAATTCTACTTTTAAAGTAATATAAATCTGATTTTGAATTTTTTATTTAATTTTTGTAAAGCTTAATATATAGAAATAAATTTGAATATTTGTGAGATATAATTTTTTTTATAGATTAAAATGATAAATAAGAAAATACTTAAGAATCATAAATAAGATATGTAAATATAAAGACTAAATTGCAAATAAAAAGATGAAACTTCAAATTTGGAGTTTTGAGAAGTGAAACTTCAAATATGAAGTTTCAGTTCTCAAAACTTCAAATTTGAAGTTTTGAAGTTTTTTTTTATAGCAAAAAACTCTATATTTAAAGTTATAGAGAGTCTTTTGGAGATGCTCTAATACTAGAGATTTTCTTCACACAGAAGCGCGGATTATATATTGTAACATTTAAAAGTTTACTTTTTGTGTCATGTATTTATTTTGTTTGAAAGTGTATCTAATTTTTAAAGCATGGTTTATATTTCTTTTTAATTTTTAAAATTTTACATTTTGTACTATTATGTCAATTGTTTTGTTTTGATTTTAAAATTATTTTTAAGTTTTTAAATAATAGTATTTTGGCTTATGAGTGTTGCTCCTTTTAATTTTAGAAGAACTTTTGGTTTTTGTTTTCGGAAACCGTTGTATTATTGGAAATTTGATTGTATAACCAAGAAAAACTTCAATTTACCAAATACACATAACAACTTACTGGTTAAAATATAGCCTATACATTATATAATAATTACTAAATCATCTCTATATGTAGTGTTAATTTTTGTTTTTTTTTTCTTTTGTCTTCTTTGTAGTTAACTGCTTTATTAGGTTTTTACTAACACAACTTAGTAACCTGTGGGATATGAACTTATTTTATAAATTAAATATGCTATTTGTATGAAATAACATTTCACAAAAATAAATATGTTCGGTTATCTCTCCGTCACGCTCCTGCAAAAATCATACATCCAATCTTACCAGTTACCATTGTGGCTATCGCTAATGGTGGAGGTTAACAGATTTCTCCTCCTCCTGCAGTTTCTTGTCTACCACCACCAAGAGATTTTGAAGGACTCTTTACTAGGTTTTTGACATTTTACTTTTAAGTTTCTTGAGGACAGTTTTGAGCTCTAAAAGTACTGTTTGTTGTTGTTAGTGTGGATAAGATGATATTGGAGGCTATTACTAACTTCAAGAGAATCTTTAACCATTCTTTCTATGTTTTACTTCTATTTAAATCATCAAGAACTTAGTGTGTCTGTATGTTTCTCAAGGAGAAGCACAATATGCAACGGCTTGTGACTTCAAGACTTAAGCATTTGGTAAATGTTGGAACACTAGTTAAGGTAAGAAAGATACACTTTTATCCTGCTTATAAAAATCAATTGTTTTCATGATTCGGTTATGTTCTGGTCTCTCAGATAAAGCACAGATACAGGGTTTCTCGGAACTATGGAGCTACAGGAGCAAAACAAAGCTCACCTCAACTCTTTTTGGAAGGAAACAAGGAGAATGGTGTCCAACATCTAACTAATTCCCAAGTAGATGGAGAGTTGTTTATGATAAAGGGCATGACAGCACAAGAAGCTGCAGCAGCCGCTGCAAGAGCAGTGGCGGAAGCAGAGTTTGCGATAGGAGAAGCTGAAGAAGCAGTTAGAGAGGCAGATGAAGCCGAAGCAGAGGCTGAAGCTGCACACATTTTTGCCAAAGCTGCAATGAAGCTTTGAAGTTTAGGATGCAATGTAAGACATAAGAAATCGCTTGTTAGTTCTTCACAAATTGTATTGATTTTAATGTTAATGGTTGTATCTTCTTGTTTCTTTTTGCAGGTAGTGAGACAAGATAATGGTCAAGTTTGAATTTGGCATCGCTGCAGTATTTTTTGGGCGTTAGGAACAGTGTATATTCTGCAGGTTGTAATGTGTTCTAACTCAGAAGATTATGTAAAACAATTTGTCCATTGTTCTGTTTATCTTTTCTTTGTAGTTACTTCACAGGTTTCTCGTGACTCATTTAGAAACTGGTTTGAAGGGAAATAAATAAAGCTTTGAGTTTAAACTTTTAGGTTTATATAAAACTGAAACACTTTGTTATTTGTGTGTTTCCATAATTGCAAATGCTCAAGCATAAAATACAGAGACCAGAATGGGACCAAACCAGCAGGAAAGCATATATATGGTTACCTCAACAACATTGATAAGTGATGCCTTTCCTACATTTTTAAGCAAAAGTTCCATTTCTAGCTTGAAGAAGAAGAGGATGCAAAAAGCATTTATTGAAAACAAGGAGACAAGATTACAATATATTAGCAAGAGTACAAGACAATGATTGCATTTCTTTAAATGAAAATAAATTAGTTAGGGCCACTTTTATCCCAACAAAAATATACCAGAAAGACAGAAACTCATCAGACGAGTTAAACAAGTACTATCTGTCTCGTCATTTTGGTCGCACGTCTGAGTCATCATCAAAGACTTTTCTCTCTTTGTTCCCGTGACAGATCCTTATTAACCAAAACTTCACCGACCCAATTCTCTTATTTCCCCAAATCTATTCCCGTGTTCTAAATTTAGCTCCGGAGAATCTTTAACCAATTGTAAATCGAAAGTTTGGTGTTTCGTTGACCCATTTCTTACTTCCAGAGAAAGCTAAGATATCGAGAATCTCCCGGACTATATATCACATGTCTGAAAATTCTGTACCGGCTGAATTTTCAGGTAAGATCCCGATGATCATCAGCTCGAAAAGCACTTGTCTTAAGTGTCTAGCTTCTGTATGTTTGGATCTGGTTTCAGACACTCTGCCTAATTATAATAGTTTCTTGATTTTTCTGTACTCTGTTCACACTAGGTTGCTTATGTGTTCTTGTTTTGAGTGTGTTGTATCTTCTTAATAGGTTGTGTACTGTGGAGATAAATCTTGGAATAAAGAAAATAAAAACAGAGGATGTTGAAGAACAAACAGAACAAGAAACCAACAACGTTATTGTGTTTAGTATCAACACTTGTGGGATTTGCTTTCACGATTCATCTAATCATGTTATACAGAAGAAACTATACTGTAGACAATCTTGAAGTTTCTCCTGAGTTACTACCAACTCATCATCCTGTCGTGTGTGAGCTCGAACGAGTTGAAGAAGAGAACATTCGCATGCCCCCTCCTAGGAAACGTTCTCCACGAGCTATCAAACGTAAACCCAAAAGACCAAACACTATAGTCGAAGAGTTTCTCGACGAAAACTCTCAGATTCGTCATCTTTTCTTTCCGGACATGAAATCCAGTTTTGGTCCGAGCAAGGATGGTGGTAATGACACAATGCATCAGTTCTTCCCTGGGAAGATTTGGTTGGACACGGAAGGGAATCCGATTCAAGCACACGGTGGTGGCATTTTGTATGATGAAATGTCTAAGAGTTACTATTGGTATGGTGAATATAAAGATGGGGTAACGTATCGCTCTCACAAGAAAGGAGCAGCTCGTGTAAGTTTCTTTCTCTCCATTACTATCTCACTCTTTGATTTAGAATATGTTAATGAGGTCATTGGCTCAACTCGAAAGGATCATATGAAAATTACATGTTTTAGTAAGAAAATTTTTTTTTTTTAATATTTTTAATGCAATATTAATTAATGCTCCCTCCGTTTTTTTTTTAATATTTGATATTTTAGAGAATTTTTTGTTCCAAATTATTTGACACTTTTCAGTTTATTAATAATTAATGTTACATAATCAATGATATTAGATTTTTATTTTATTAATGGTTGAATTGTGCTTAGATGAACAATCAATGATGCTTTTGTTTAGAAAATGATTTTTTTTTTAATCTATGTGTATAATCATTACGTCAAATGTTAAAAAAAAAAACAGAGTGAGTAATGATTAACTGTATTTTTTAAGAAAAATTAAACTTAATTGCATGTATTAAATTCTTATTGCTTTAGAATTATAGGAAAAAAAATAATTATAAAAAAATATGCATTTATAAATGAAATGTAATATATTTTATTAATTTGTGTGAAAATTCTAAAATATGTACCATTTCGAAACAGAGAAAAAAAAAAGAGCAAAAATTTAGAATGTGTTTTGAAACGGTTTATTGGATTTGTTATCAGGTTGATATAATCGGTGTTGGATGCTACTCATCGAAAGACTTATGGACATGGAAAAACGAAGGTGTTGTCTTAGCAGCCGAAGAGACAGACGAGACACATGACTTACACAAGTCCAACGTCCTCGAGCGACCTAAAGTGATCTACAACTCAGCAACCGATAAATACGTGATGTGGATGCATATAGACGACGCAAACTACACTAAAGCATCTGTAGGTGTAGCCATCAGCGACAACCCAACAGGTCCATTCGATTACTTATACAGCAAGTCACCACACGGATTCGACAGCAGAGACATGACTATCTTCAAAGACGATGACAACACCGCCTACTTGATCTACTCCTCAGAGGAGAACAGAGTGATGCACATCGGTCCGTTAACCGAGGATTACCTCAATGTTAAGCCGGTGATGAAGAGAATCATGGTGGGACAACACAGAGAAGCACCAGTTGTTTTCAAACACCAAAACGTTTATTACATGATCACATCTGGTTGCACGGGGTGGGCACCGAACGAAGCGTTGGCTCATGCGGCTGAGTCGATCATGGGGCCGTGGGAGACGTTGGGGAACCCTTGTGTTGGTGGGAATAAGGTGTTTCGGTCGACGACGTTTTTCGCGCAGGGGACTTGTGTGGTGGCTTTGCCTGGTGTTCATGGTGGGTTTATATTTATGGCGGATAGGTGGAACGTGGCGGATTTGAGAGATTCGAGGTATGTGTGGTTGCCGTTGATAGTTGGTGGACCGGTTGATAGGCCTATTGAGGCTAGTTTTGGGTTTCCGATGTGGTCGAGAGTTTCTGTGTATTGGCATAGACAATGGAGGTTGCCTTCAGGAGGAGGGAAGGAGATTGAATGAGAAAAAGACAGCTTTTCAAAATCTTTTTCAGTTGTGTCTTCTTTTTCTTTCTTTTTGCAGTTGTGCTGATGCTCATTGTTTTTGTTGTGTTGTTGTGATTTGATTTGTTTTACAGGTATAGATAGATAGATAGATAGATAATAGATCCTTGTTAATAACAGATCAGTTTGGTTATAGTATATGGGTTCTGTTACATTTCTTTCAGCTGGTCAGTTACTTTTCTTTTCATAAGAGTATCCTGTTCAGGTTTTCGGTTTCAATTGATTGTTTTGGTTAATGAAATATATTATCTGAATTCAACGGGCATCATCTTTGATCATGTATGTTAGTCATCACACAAGAGGTTAATTAGGCTTCAAGCATTGTTCTGTTTTTTTAGCGGATCATGGCCCCATCAAAGCTAATTTCTTCTTATATGGTTAATGCAGTTTAAGAAACGGATAAAATCAGTGGCTGTTGATGGCTCGGATGTTTTACCTGCTGCTAAAGAAGCAGCTAAGAAGGCCTCAGCTAGAAAAGAAGCGAAAGAAGCTGCTGCAAAAGTAAAGCTAAGAAAGAAGAAGAGAGAATAGCAGAACTGAAGAAAGTAAGAGGAGAAAAATGGCTACCTTCCATTGCACCTGCACTGGAGGTAAACTAAATGCTTCTCATCTACCTATTTTTGTTCTTATGTTATTAGTACAGTATATGTTAGTAAACATGAACATAACCAGTCAATCTCTCTGCATACATATATATATTTGCAGCTAAACAAAAAAAAAAAAAAAAACTCTACATGGAGATCTGCAAAATCGTAAAGATCCATCCATCTACTTGGAGGTAAACAATGGAAATCTCATTACTTGAGGATGAAGAAACGTTGAATTACTAATTGGCTACAAAAAAATTACTTAGCTAAGATTATGAGAATCTTGAATTTTTAAATTGTAAGAGATAAATAGAGAGATCATTAGGGCAACATTAACGGTACATCTTATGTTTGTCCTTAGTGTTTTTTTGATTTAATTTAAATCCGAAAAGGGAAGAAATAAGGGGAATTCATCTTAATTTAGATGCATTTCATCTCGTCCTTAGAGAAACGTGGCAAGCGCTGAATGGTTGAGGGGAAAAACATGTGTTGCTCATCGAAGCGGTCTGGATCTAGGTCATTCTCATCGTCTCTCGTTTTCTCTGGTTCTCTGTCGGCGATAGAAAGGGCGACTCGTCTCTCGTTCTCTCTCGACCCATCTCTCCCGATTCATCGCCTCCGACTGGTTCTATCTCCCTCTCTCGCGACGGCTCTCTCTCCCTCTCTGGCGACGGCTCTATCTCCCTCTCTCTCGACGGCTCACTCGGCGGCTCTCCGGTACTCTCTCGACGGCTCTAGCCCAAATAACTCGACGGCAATAAATATCTATTTTTAAAAAAAAAGAAAATTTACCTAAGGACAAACATAAGTCCTACCAATAAACCACCATTTCACCAAAAAGTTCTTACAAATGTCCTTAACACAAAAAAACTATAAAAAATGCTTAGGACATCTTCCTAAGATACAACCATTAATGTTGCCCTTAGTTCTTGATGTAGTGAGAGTGAAGCTCTTCAGAGACGTTGTTGTCATCATCTTTGATCCAAACGAAATCTTCTAACCCATCATAAATCTCCTCAACACCATACTCACTCTTCTTGCCTTCTTGTTTGGAGAAAGCATTCTTTATTCCACTTATCAATCTTTTCCCAAAACTTTTCTCTCGTCTATGCTGCGGTTGTGACAACGGAGACCCCCCTCCTCCTCCTCTCCGAAAAGTCGTGCTCAAAGATGAAACCGATCCTCTCTGCATCTTCTTAACATTTCTCGATTCGTCAACGCAGTTGAAACTCGCTGACCGAGCAGACTCCATCACGCTCCTCGACTCCCCGATCCGTTCAGATTCTCTCGAAATGAGTCTCTTCATCTCCTCGAGCTCCTTCTCCAAGCTCTTAATCCTCGACCCCGTCGAATCCATCGCAGCTCTCAACCTGTAGCTTTCCCTCGCCGCCGTGTCTCGCTGCAGAAGCGACTCCAGCGTCGTCGCAGAATCCGCCGCAGCTATGATCGAGCGGCGCGTGTTGTTCTGCTCTTGCAGCATCGCGCGCACGATGAACCTCAGGGGCATTTTCGGGTTTTGCACGGCGTGGAGGAGTAACGGCGGCGAGAGTCTCTCGCAGTCTATTGAGTTGCATATCTGTAGCTTCTCTTCCTCCGTTATCTCTCCGTCACGTTCCTTCAAAAATCATACATCCAATTAGAAACTGACACGTAATCAGTAAAATAAAATATCCAATTAGAAATTGACACGTAATCAGTAAAAAATCATACATCCAATTAGAAACTGACACGTAATGGGTAACATACATCCAATTAGAAACTGACACGTAATCTTAATCAGTTATAATCCTTTTTTTAACCTTTATAAAAGCGTCAACGACTCTGTAGAGCAAATCGTGGCGCGGGAAATGCTGCTGCACGGCGTTAGCGACGACGATGAAGTATCCGGCGGGGAGTATAACCGCTTGCTCGAGAAACTCGTTGACGCAGTCTCCGTCTCCGATCTCCGTCAAAGCTTTTATGCATCTTCCGACTAAAAACGCCGTCGTTTCGGATTCCGGAAGTGAGTTGAGGCATGAGCGGAGAACGATGCTGATGTAGTTAACGTTGACGAAGACGACTCGTCGGAGATAAGACTCCGTTAAGTTTCGCAGGTTATCTCTGGCGTTGTTTCCTCCTGTTATCAGAAGAAGCTCGACGGCGACTCTCAGCGAAACGATATTGAACGGCGTTAGTTCGATGTGAGCGCCGTAACAGAAAGCGGTTACTAACGAAAACGTTTCAGCTGTTATGTTTAACGGCGGTGAGAGAGTTAATTCGTTGACGTCCGTTAAATGGCGTTTTAAATAGCCGCTGTTTCTTGACAGAGGTTCCTATAGGATGATAAAAGACCACATACAATTAAAACCAAACCTTTTAGCTTATTCGCATTAAATGGGTAATATCTTTATTTTAGTAGTTTGCAATTCGAAAAATAAATAAAATATAGAAATTGTGACAAAAAAAAATAAAATAGAATAACTGAGCAAATGGTAATGTCTGAAATTAGCAAACAAAAGTTTGAAAAATGTAACCTTGTGTAGATGGAACCTTGTGCCTCCCACATGTACCAACACATCAGGTTTAGAATTATGAACCAACGACCTTATTATAATATATAGAAGAATAAGATTTAATTATATAAAAATGGTCATGACTCAAGAAGAATGGTAAGGTTGTAGAGAAATATTACCATTTGTTGACTCTAGATTCAAGCTCCATTGAAGGAGAAGAGAGACAGATACGTGGTTGAAGAGAGGGAGACAAAGATGAAGAAGAGGAAGAAAAGGAAGAAGAGTGATCCATGTAGTCTTCTTCTTCTTCGTTGATCGTATCTACAATCCCTAAACTTGTCCGTCGCTTCATTCTTTGTTTGAGAGAGATGGAGAGGGAGGTAGAAGATGAAAAGAAAGAAAAATTATGTGATTTTAAGAGAAGATCGGTTAGGTTTTTGGGATAGTAAAGAAGAGAAAAGAAAACTTGGCAATAAGTGTGGTAATAGAGGAAATAAATGATTCTTTGTGATCGTTACAATATACGTGAAGGTCTTTAAATGCATATTTCCTCTTTTTTTTCTTCCAATAACCTGCTGTTGACCACGTCCACATGCTCCTGAATCCTGATGTGTTTGGTTCTACATTCAAATTTCCACAAGATTTTAAATAAATCAACTTCTTTGTGTATAGTATACTACTACTAATCTTCTATATATATATATATATATATATATCCAATTTTGGTTCTGTATCTAACTAACATATTTGTGGCAATAACATTGAACTGTTTATATGAACCTGGGCGGGAAAACAATATCTACCAAGAGAACGCTAGTTTGATTCTTCCTGGGATGAAACTTAATTCACATGTTATGGTCTCTACTCCGAAGCAGTTATGTGCCAGAAGTTCATGAAAGACTAGTTTAACCGGCCAGCTTGAAACATTCCGATTCTCATGTCATCCTCTTGTTTCATCATCCGTTGCCATCTATTTTTCTCTCTTTCTTTTTTTGATTTGTTCCCTAGAATTTCACTACTCAACAATATACATGGAATGTATAAAGTTGCATAATACTATAACAAAACTTATCTAAACTGAATGACATAATAGCCAATAAAAACATGATGTATACAAATTACAATAGTGGATTCGTTTTGTTCTCATTTCTCTTATTTTTCAAGCTAAGTTACTCTTTTAACATTTTTAAAAAGAATTACAACATTTACATGGATACGAATACAATCAATAGAGGCCTTTCATTATTATAATATTTCCCCATTGCATTGCATCTAAGAAAGTGAGAAATCCAGATTTAAAAATATAAGCTTATTGAATACCTCACATTTGAGGTTGACCTCCTCAACCATGAGCAGATGCATGTTATGCCCAACAAAGTTACGTGCTCCCAACTATACCTTGATTTTTTTTTTTTAACAACAATACTCTTATTAGATCAAACTGTATAAGGTTGGTACAAATAATCAAGCAGCCAAACAGGTGGCATAACAAAGACTTCAAATGGCTCCGAACCTAATAACATGTGCTTTGCTAATCTATCAGCTGCTTGATTTCTTTCTCTGTTGATCATCCCCAAGGAACATTGAGGGAGTAAAGCAGTCCAGTATCGAATATCAAAGATAGAATTACCGAGCTCCATACTCTCTTGATAGCCATTGACAATACGAACCAACTCCTGACTATCTGTTTCAAACCAAACTTCCCTCAAACCTCTAATCCAAACTTGTTGCAGAGCACAAATAAAAGCATGAGCTTCACCCTGTAGAACAGATTTGATTCCTTCCACTTTTGCTCCCCCCGCAAGAACTATACCTTGATTTATTTTAAATAATGAGCTCAAAATTTTATTAAAAAAAAATAATAATTAGCCCAAACTCCATCAAATCTCCCCATAGCTCAACCTACGTCATTTTTATTTTGAATCAATAAAACAGAGATTGCAACTATGACTTTCGGCCCTCAAGTGTAGTTTTTTGGAACAAGCCCACTATAAAACTCTGAAGAGTAAAATCTTATAAAAGCCCAAGCTCATTTAAAACAAAGCCCAAATTTCAAAGTAAACCTAACTCTGAACAGACTATATATACACTTTATTAACACTAACATTCACTTCCCCGTCTCCAGAAAAACCCTAGCGAGAGAGTTTCGTAAACCCGGCGGCGAAGATGAAGTACAACCCAAGAGTCACCTCCTCTCGCAGGAAGAACCGCAAGGCCCACTTCACAGCCTCATCGAGCGAGAGACGCGTCATCATGAGCTCACCACTCTCCACCGACCTCCGCCAAAAGTACAACGTCAGATCCATGCCTATCCGCAAAGACGACGAGGTCCAGATCGTTCGTGGGACCTACAAGGGACGTGAAGGCAAAGTTGTCCAGGTGTACCGTCGCAAGTGGGTGATTCACATCGAGAGGATCACGAGGGAGAAGGTGAATGGAACGACCGTGAATGTCGGAGTTCAGCCTTCGAAGGTTGTGATAACGAAGCTTCGTTTGGACAAGGACAGGAAGTCGCTTTTGGAGAGGAAGGCGAAGGGACGTGCTGCTGCGGATAAGGACAAGGGGACTAAGTTTACTGCTGAGGATGTTATGCAGAACGTTGATTAAGTCGAAAGAGTTTGTGTAAGGGTTTTATCTTTTTTAAGTGTTTTTAAAATTTTGTTTTGTCGGATGTTATGTTTCGGACATGAGTACTTATCGTTTCAGTTCATTTTGGATTATGAGTTTCACTCTTTAGCCATTTTCTATATTTTCTTTGATGTTTTTTTTTTATATTTGAATGTTTGCTTGTGGTTTAGATTGATGTGTGATCATATTGACTCGATTTAGGGATTGTTCATTTCATGAGTTTTGTTAGTGTTGATTTAGAGATTTAGTGACATTGATTGGTAACTAGTGCTTCCATTACGAAAAGCTGAATTGATTCGAGAAGCTTTGAGTTACAATTGTTTCGCTCTAAAAGTATATAAATTTCATGATTTGTTTTTCAATTGTTAGTATATACATTTCATGATTTCATTAAATTGAAACTCTGACCCGTCAGTCTCGATAATATTTTTCTGTGGTTTTTGAAATTGGATGATTCTCTTACAAGTATTAGTTTTCTGTTATCTTTGGTATGTTTGGTAGAAAGGAAATCATCGCCGAACAATTAGTCAATCTCATTTCCTTGGGTCTCTTTTTCGAATCTTTAGTTCTGTAATGATGCATTTGTTTCATTTACCTGTCTCTATTTCGGTAATAGCCTATGAAAAAACAATTTTGAAAACAATTTTTTGATAGAGGGTCATTTACAGAAATTTATAAACCGAACAAAAAAATCGAAACACAAACTCATGATTTCGGTAAGTTTGTAACGATTTCGCGAGAGCCTCCATGCTGCAGAAGAGCTCCAAACTTATCTTTAATGTTCATCTTAGCTTTCACCCTAATTAAGTAATCAAGTGCAAGACAATCCACCAACAGTAACTAAACTGGAAATACTGTTAATCGAGATGCTGAATTTTGGTCGGTACTGAATCTCTCAACGAAAGTTCTAACACATTTGAAACATAAAAAATGAGTTTGTTAATGGGATTCCAAACTTGTCTAGTTTGTCGTCCGGAGAAGAATAACTAGATTTAAGTCACAAAGTAATGTACAAGAAAGAAATAAGTATATAAGATCGTCAACAGTTATCACTAGTGGTTTCGTGGTGTAGTTGGTTATCACGTCAGTCTAACACACTGAAGGTCTCCGGTTCGAACTCGGGCGAAGCCACACATTTGTTTTAAATTTTTTTCTCTCTGTTGATCAATATATGCTTCCAATGTTGTGAGCCCATCGGGCTTTTAGATGGCTCATTTCTTTCCCCCGAAAGAAATTTCATTAATTCAAAGTATATTTTGTGTGCCTTGTGAGCTCACTTGCCAGTTAATACCAATTAACCATTTTGATTGATGGCTTGATAGTTGGGAGAACTGTGTTCACATTGGTGGATTCATTGTTTAGATTAAACTCAACAATGTTGAGAAACTTCAATCGAATTTGAAGAAATTATACGACTTTCTTGCTATCGTCAACAATCCCGTCCATTTGGACAACTTTCATGGACCATATAGTAGTTCCAAGAAGGTGATCAGTGATCACTAGTGGAAATAATTACAGTAGTAGTCGATATACATGTGTTCGCTTAAGATAAAAAAAGTTGAAATAATCCTAAAAGGTAAATGCAAGGCCTATAGCACAAAATTATTATTTTGATTCTCTTTGACAATCTAATTTTTATAAATAATTATTATAGGGTTTATGTCACGTAAATGCAATCTTTTTCTATTTGTGACAATCTAGTTTTTAACCAAAAAAAAATTAGAACTATTTATGTGATTGGAGTCTAATCCTTCTAACAAATCTAACTTTTGAGTTAATATAATTAAATAAACTAAATCTGATTTAATGTAGAAAACACATTATAACCGAGTGGTGTAGCCTAGTGACAATTTTTTGGGGTTTGTGTGTATCCATATCAGTCATAGGTTTGATTTTCTCTGGAAACTAAATTTTTATTACTTGACTAGTCTAGACTTGAGATTCGGTCCAATTGGTTTACATGGTAGATCGTAACAGATGATCGGTTCACTCCTTGTCATTAGTCGAAGAGTATTTTAAACTCGGATCAGACGGTGTGGTAGTCAATCCACTCTATAACACTAAGTGTGTTTCTCCCGAGACCGATCAGATCAACCGATAGGGTTTATCAAAAAAAAAACACATTATAAATTTACACCATTTACTCACTTGCTCCAGGGACCTCTTTTCTCTAAACTGTCCATTCTACATCATTATCATCCCATGTAACTATCTCCACTTCTTTCTATGTGACTCAAGCTCACCCTTTATAAACGTATTTATCTATTTGCCTAATATATAGTTGTTCATGATAATACAAAAAAGGTGAGTGAAAAATCTAGAAATTATCCACTCATTTTACCAAATAAACGTATTTATCTATAAATTATTTGGTATTATTTTACCAAACAATCTAGAAATTAAATTAGTTGATCACATCTTCAATTCCAGTCTCTAAACACCGCGAAATTTTGTTACTTGATTTAAAACTTTTTAGTTGTAGAACAAAATAACAAACTTACAAGCAAGCATAATTATAAAAAAAAATGAAGTGGGTGATCACAACGAATGTAGTAGCCTCGGCCTTAAGAAAGACTCGTACCGTCTTTTTTAAGTCTCCACCAAATCCCCATCCACTTCCACCATATACAACAAACCACGTGTCCCAACTGTAGAATCCTAAATTCCTTCCAGGCAATGAAAACACGACAGATCAGTTATGATCCAACGCTACACATGACAAGTGAAAAGATTCGCTAACCTGGCCAGAGCCTTTAAACTAACTCCGAAGTTATTGGCAACTCAAAAAACTTTTTTTCGAGAAAAACTCAAAAAACTTCATCAACACATGATGTTTTTGAATAAAGTACTACCACCATAGATGTGTTATTGCTTATTAGTATGAATAAGTACTTATTTACTAACAAAAAGGTATTATGTGAATGATGTGTGGTTATATATTATCTTTTGAAATCTGTGATTGTCCTTTTTTCTTTGTTTGATATATCATTTGCTACTAGAAAAATGTGGATAAATTGAACAAGATGACCAGTTCATGATTTGGACTGCTACCTATCGCCAAATATAGCACAACTTTGATAAGTACTTTAGTATTCCATCTTTGTGAATGTGTTACTTTTTTCGACTACTCAATAAAGGTTGATGTTAGACTCTAATACAAATATAGTTACATGATTTTTCCCCACCGCACATCGTTTTAAAAATAGGCATTCTTATATTACCATTATAAGATTATAAGCTGGTGCTTTCGAAAAGATGTTATTTTCCAGTCTTTGATGTAACCCCTAATTAATTTGGATTTTCATGAACTTAATTATATGTTTAGTTCGATCTAACATGGTTTTAGATATCAGTTTTCTTTTTGTAATTTCTTTTTAGATTATATGTAGGCAATAAAATTATGTTAATTACAAATAAAGTATATATTAAAGATACAAAAATAGGATGAGATATTAATGGATATGGAGAAGAAGCATCACTTGATCACTTAGAGCCCACGTTCCCACTCTTAATCACCCAAAAATTATAACAAAGACGTGCTCTCACATCTCATCTCACTCCCTCACCAGCTCACTCACTCTCTCTATCCTCTTTTTTATCTTTCTTTAAAATAAATCTCTCTCAATAATCAATTAATCAAAGACGAGAGCATATGGCTCTAGACACTCTCAATTCTCCAACCTCCACCACCACCACCACCGCTCCCTCTCCATTCCTAACCGAGCCGGATAATCTTGAGTCCTGGACCAAAAGAAAACGCACCAAACGACACCGTACAGATGATCAATCCCATCCTCCCACAGAAGAAGAGTATCTTGCTCTCTGCCTCCTCATGCTTGCTCGTGGCTCCTCCTCTGATGATGATCATCACTCTCCTTCTCCTCCACCGTCTGATCATCACAACCACCGAGACTACAAGTGCTCCGTCTGTGGCAAATCTTTCCCCTCTTACCAAGCGTTAGGTGGACACAAAACCAGTCACCGGAAACCGGTTAGTAATAATAATAATAACCATGACGGTAATAATAACGGTTCGGTTACTAATAACGGAAATATTAGTAACGGTTTGATTGGTCAAAGTGGAAAGACTCATAAGTGTTCCATATGTTTTAAGTCGTTTCCATCTGGTCAAGCACTAGGCGGTCACAAACGGTGTCATTATGACGGTGGTAACGGTAATAGCAACATCAACGGTAACGGTAGTAACAGTCACGGGTTTGACCTTAACTTACCGGCCGATCAAGTATTTGAAGTCTCTTGCGATGAGACACTTGGGAAAAGTCAACTCTCCGGCGAAGAAACAAAGTCGCCGTTGTGAATTATTTTTTAATCTTTACTGATAAGCTAGCTAGTGATCATCGATCATTAGCTGATGAGTCTGTAATGAAAATGATTGGAGTGGACTTTGGATTATTTTTATTTCTTTTTTTTACGTAAAAAGTATTGGGTATGTTTGTTTATAGAAAGTAAAAAAACGAGGAAATATTGAATTTACATTTTATACTCTTATTAGAAATAATAATAATAAGAAAAAAATGATAAGTGTAGTTTCTGCTTCTTGGAAATTTCCTTATATAATAATCTCAATTACTACTTCCGCAAGCAAAGGAGCCAGCTCTATGAATCTGACTGTCACTCCTGGCTTGAAGTGATCTGTTCCTTATGATTAACAACTTAATTAAAATATTATAAGTAATCAATTCCTGTTTAGAAATAACATCTTCTTTTTTGTCAACTAGAAATAACATGTTTTGATAGGAGAAATTAGTATTAGTTTTGGCTATGTTAGTATTAATTATTGAAGTAGTGATAGATAGGTTAGTAGCACCTAACGAAGCTAATCCTTAAGTGTCTTGTCGTCTTTGATCACTATTATCCATTTTATTGGTTGGCAGACACACTTCCCTCCACGCTTTCAACATTTGTTTTATGAATCTGTATTATTTCGTTTTCATGAGTGTTAAGAGTCTAGTATTTATTATCACAGTTTGTTGCGGAAAATATCTTACACGTCAAAATCAATCCCAAGTTCTTTTGTACTCCGAAGAAAATGTAAGTATTAGGTATTCTCTGAAATAAATGCCCATATATACACAAACAAGTATTTTTAACACTTGAAAATGATTCTCTTAATTATATCTTACATTATCGAAAGTATCCAGTAAGGCAGTAACTATTACATGTACAACACCGAAATTAGACACATGTAATGTAATCAAATTAAAATCTTAATTCAGACACTTACCCTTTATATGAAACCCTGCTTAAATTTTTAAAACACCACTGGATATATACCCATTTTAGTTATAATCGGGGGTTGACATGGAAAACATTATTAATCATGAAAACATTGTCATATCAGCACCTTTGCCAAAAAAAGAAAGAAAGAATTTCCCTATTTTCGTGTGTAGATAATATAATTCGTATTAATAAAGCCTTATTACAGCTTGTACAAAATGTGTTAGGTCTTACAAGTGTGTTAAAGGCCTAAAGCAGTCGTATGATCCAAATTAGTTTTGCAGTGATGCACCAGAGACTTATTGTTTGGACACCATTCGAAATCTGTAATAGAGCCCATAGTGGGTTCTATTTAATAGCTGAGGAAATTTAGCCCAATAATTTTAATTTCATATCAGAAACTCAGCCTGAAATTCTGGAACAAAGGAAGTAATAACGATTTCATTATTAGTTTTGCAAATGTATATCATGCAATAGGGATTTACTGTCGAAAATTTCCACAGCCAAAATCTCATAAGTGCATGTTAGAACAAGGTGTAAAATCCATCAAGATGGAAGGACTGTTTTGGGGAGAAGGTAATTTGGTGGATCATTAAGGCGGATCATACATAGACGACTTATAGGATTATAGTATCTCTTGATTTTTGCGGCCAGTGCCGGGGGCTGAGACAATTCTTGTGAGGCATTTGAATGGGGTCCATAATTTTGCGGGATCCATATTTAAAAATCATTTATAAAATAACTATTTACATTTTTAATTTAAAATAGAATTACAAATTTTATAAAACTAAAAAACTTTCATAAAAATTAGCTAATTAAATTATATAATATGTAAATATTTTTTTAGAAAATATTTCAATTAGTTGTTTGTTTCTATAACATGTATAGTTATTATACTAAATAAATTTCGTATAGATAGCCCTTTTAAAAAAAACAAAATTGTATAGATGATTTAATATATTTTGGTGATACCGAAATTATTATTTTTAATTTGTATGGGGCTTCGGAAGACTCTGTGTACAGCCAAAGTTGTCAAGTTTGGCTATAGAGTCGAAGTTTTGGGGATCATATTCACAATCATTAATGATGCACGTCTCAAGACTCTGAATACAGTTTTGTCAAAGAAGCTGAAGATATGTTTGGGGTATTGTAGTTTTCGCCTTGAACAGGGTATGTAAGTATCTAAGTCCTATTTCAACTCCTTCAAGCTGCTAGTCTTTTTATATATAAGTAGGTGCCAAAGATGTCAGTTTGCTTGGTATTGAATCATAATGCAAAGGATGGAGATAATCTCCAAAGGGAACGTTTCAGTAGTTCCTTATTTTGGTTCTGTAATAAGGAGATCTTTTGTAATCTTGACATTTCATTTTCTTATCTAAAACAGTTGTCCCTTGGCCGTGAAGAGAATACTTCACATAAAACTGCCACATTTTATACAGTTATAGTAATTATAATAGCTCCATACAAAGTAAGAAACACATCTCTTGTTCTTGATCAAAATTGTGGAGTTCAAGTGTTTTGGATCGATTGTTTTAATGCTTAAATATATGATATTTACAACCAAGAAGTTCGATGAATTAATTAATTACTAATGGAGTGATGTAATGAACAAATACAGACTACGGCATTCAGTGGAAATTTGCCTCTTTTTATAAGATTCTTTTTTTTGCTTAATTGCCGAGTAGGCAAAGACCATCTAAGCCATTAAACGGTCCGGTTTACCGCATTACTACGATTTGGAAAGGTAAGATTAACAACGTGTTATAATGTTAAGGAGAACAAAATGTTTGATTTGGTCACACACACGTGAGACAACGACGTAGATAAATAGCCTCTCTCTTTCTTCTAAAACATTGTTAAGGATGATTTAAGGGTCAGATAGTGTCATAGTGGATTTGTTTCACTGAAGGGTCAGCTTAGACTTAGCCCTAAATTTAAGTAAATAAATAAAAAAGTCTACCAACAATAGAAGCTCATAGAGTACATTCGATAGTTTAAGAAACGCAAATTTAGTTTAACAAAGACAATTATTAAGAAAAATAATAACATGAGAAAATTGAATGTTTTCTTGAATGGAATGTTATTTAAGTAGGACATATTCATTTTGATAATATATGCTAATCGTCGATTTTTCAGTTGAGAAAAAGTTGTATCAATCAAAAACCTGAAAAATTCATAAAAATGTCGACTAGCAAATTATTGAAGAAAATAGAAAGGGTATTTTAATTTGAGAATTGCATCAAATACTCGAGATCGTTCACGCATGATGCATCATTTACAAATACCCTTATTTTATTTTTAAAATATATGAACATAAAATATTGCATTACTTTTGATCAAAATGTAAATGAACCAATCCCGGTTGAAGAGGCACTACTATTCGCGGAGACACGGAGCCGTTGGCTTGGCACCCATCACCTTGGAATATCTCTTTTCCTCTTCTCTCTCCTCATCACCACCTAGTCAACAACCACGCACCATTTTCTTTACTTTACTTTTATCGAACGTAACACTGCAAATTTATTTCTAATCAATTTTTGACTCATTTTTATCAATGCAGTTAATTATAATCACGTTACAACCAACTAATAACAGTATTATATAACTGGTTATAAATATTAAACAATTTTTTTAAAAAAATATTAAACAATATCAAATATTTTTTATAATAATAAAACATCACATTTGTAATAAAATTTATTTTTAAGCATCAAACCAACTTAAACAAAGGGAGTAGTAGTAAGTAATCAATTTCTATTTATAAGTTTGCAAGGCACTAGAACATTTACTTATAATCCAATTAAAATAAAATAAACTCATACTATAATGATTCATTGGTTCACTCAGGTGCCGTTTTATCAATTAATGTGTCTATATAACTACATTAGTCTGGTTCATCTTCCAAAAACATAGAAACCCTTTGTCCAAGTATCTTTCTCTCTCACATCAAATATCTTTTTCTTGCACTCAAAGCAAAATCTTCATCATCATCCTCTCCAAAAGAATTCATGTGAATCTCCCAGATAATAGCAAACACGGAGAAACATATCGATTAGTTTTTTAAAAAATCAGAAAAATCATGAGTTGCAATGGTTGTCGCGTTCTCCGTAAAGGCTGCAGCGAGAGCTGCATCCTCCGTCCTTGTATCCAATGGATCCAATCCGCCGAAGCTCAAGGCCACGCCACCGTATTTGTGGCTAAATTCTTCGGCCGTGCCGGTTTAATGTCATTTATCTCCGCCGTACCGGAATCTCAGTCCCCTGGTAAATTCTTTTTTTTTTATGATTTCGTTTTATGAATCTTAAGGGTATTTCCGTCTTTTTACAGCTTTGTTTCAGTCTTTGCTCTACGAAGCTTGTGGGAGAACTGTGAACCCGGTGAACGGCGCCGTTGGGTTGTTATCAACGGGGAACTGGAATGTTTGTCAAGCGGCGGTTGAGACGGTTCTCCGCGGAGGTTCTTTGAGACCTATCCCGGAGCTTCTTACACGTGACGGCGGTTCCGACGAAGCTTCCGAGATCTGCATGGACATTTTGAATGATTCCGGTGACCGGAAAAGTTACCACCACTGCCGTTTTTCGACCTCTGGATCAAGAAAGACGGTTTCTCCGCCGAAAAGGAAACGTTTAGCGTCAGAACAACGACGACCGTCGTCGGAGCTAGGTCTCTCTCTAATATCTGATTTTCCGGTTAAAAAGATGCCGGTAAAGGAGGAAACGTGTCGACCTGAAACTCCGTCGATACACTCCGAGGAGTCTGTTGCAACGGTGTCGTTTTCGAATATTACGGCCGGCGGAGGAGAGACGACAAAACTGCTCAACCTTTTCACTTGAACGACTATGTTTTGTTTCTGGGGGTTAAGATGTCATTTTGTTGACTTTACCACTATTGTGGGTTAAATGTTTTTGGGAAAATGGGGAACATCGGCAAAATACGTTATTTTTTTCTCTAAAACAGTAAAACTTATTTATGACAAAATTAATTAATAAGGTAATTAATTGAGAGAATAATGATAACTCGTCGGTGTACTAGTGTACTAATTTTTTCTTCTTCTCAATCAGCATTATCATTAATTTCGATTTATAAGATAACGAAAATAATAATATGTACGATGTACGATAAATGAAATGAGTGTTACTCCTAGTATTAATTTACTTCTTTGTATCGATGTATATATGTAACATTTAATAATCAACCAATTGAGTGTTACTGCTTGTATTAATTTACTTCTTTGTATCGATGTATATATGTAACATTTAATAATCAACCAATTACACCGATGAAAATCAACATATACTTATACTAATGTACACACACCTTCCAAAACAAAACAATCGGCCAGTTCTTTGCACCCAACATAGTTCGATTGTGTTAGGGCCGACATGAATATGATGCATAAACACACAAGAGTATAATACACAACTTAACATTTGATGATCATCTTGATTACTCCCTAGATATATAACCATTAACTCATAACGTTTTGTCTTTAGCTACTTGATATATTTGATATTTTATTATAATGGTTTTGTCTGTAACTACCTTTTCTTATTCAATACTTATAACAGCTATTAATATACATTAGAATATAAAAAGTAAATAAGTAAATAAGAAAATTTATCTACAAGAGAATAATATTCCTGAGATAAGATAATTATTACTAGTTGATAATGTATTATATTTCTTCACTCAGTCATGTCGATCTGGAGGTCGTTATCGGTAATTTTAAACATCTTTTATAATTTTTTTTTAGTTGGATGGATTCGGAGATTCGATTTTAATTTCTCTAGCCGGTACCAACCTGCATCTATACCTGCACAATGGGATCTAAGTCATGGCCAATACGAGTCGAATCCGGAGCCGTATTTCACCTGGTTATCTTTTATAATCCTCTTAGCATGGAATTATATACAATTTCTACCCTTTACATTGAGCGTATGAACTTAGGCATATACAGTTGATAGTTAACCTTATAAGCGATTAGGTACATTACGTAAGTACATCGTATATTAGTATATAATACAAATGGATTGTATAATGCATGTAAATGGGAGTGAACCAAAAAGTTGGGGTTATAAAACTTTTGGTGGAGGAGAGGCGGCTTTCGGACGACCAAAGAGCCGTTTTTCACTACTTATCTTCGTGGAATCTTCAAAAGCATTTCTTCTTCTTAACATTTTGTTTATTTAAAACCCTTGCAACAAGGTATATCTTTTTTTTTTTTGACAAAACAACAAGGTATAACTGTGCTTTGCGGATGATGGCGTAGAACAATGAAATATGCCAATAATATGTTTTTCTTTTCCGTTAAATAGACCAATAGTATGTTGGTTTTATACATTCATTATATGTTAGGATTCGTTGATATTAGCTAAAATGTCACACTAATAAAAACATGAAAGATCCGATGATTTTCTACGATTCTGATTGTTAAATATGATCGTGGATTATGTCTGTATACAGTTAAACCATTTCCAATTGGATAATGGGGAGATGTCGCCTCAAGCTCGAATTTAGTGATGCGGAGATTAATATACATATAACATGCATTTGCCAACATTTTATTATAGTACTAAAACTCCATAAAGTTATTGCTTATTTCTTATATTTTTAATTTAGACCCTTAGAAAATATTTAAAATAATATGATGTAGATCAACGTGACTATTTTTGGAAGAGTAGACTTTTCATATTCTGTTCCACAAAAAATGAAAGATTATTTGAAATCCAAATTGGAAATCATTTACCAAATAAGAGGAATGGTTTTTGTTTGAAGAAGTGATTTGGAGATCTTACGAAGTGAGGCCAGTTTAATAAAGTATACTTTCGATTTCGACCAACCACCAACTGGAAAACAAATGCTTATGGTCCACGTCACTCAAACTTTCACAAGCTTTTTAGGAAACGAATGAGCTTTCTTTATTTTGAATGGAATGTTCGACTGTTAGTAGATATAGTATATTAATTCCTAAGAAAATATAACTATTTATCAACTTAATTTCAATTCTTTCGCTAAAATGACATACAATTACCAAGTTAAAAAAATTCATCAGTTTTTTTTTGGTTAAATACAAAAGCTGGTGTTCCTGGATCGTAGGTTTAGTGAAAGATCTCTCGAATATTGGGACGTGAAGTGGGGCTTCTTTTACATCCTCCAAACTTTCGGTCTCGTCCGTTCATTACATCTAATTAGTGTCTAATCATGAATTTCAAAATTTCGTGGAACTAATGTATCTTTTCTACTTTATGGAGTTAATTATACTCACAACGACACTCTTTGCATTTTAATCCGCGAATACGATCGTATAAAATAAAACGAGAATAAAATAACATTAGCAATTCAGCATGATTAGTGTTTGATGCCAAAAGCCACGAGTAGCCGCAGTTTCTGATGGGCCCAAGACATTCATCACCTCCTCCACTTAAGTCGGTGTGAGTCCACTTGATGTTTCTTAAAACTTAAAAAAAAAAACTTTTCTTTCCAATACAAACAAAAACGATTACTTATATAATTATTATGAATTTACGCCTAAAATCGGGTTTTAAGTCGTTTACAATTAGACTTAAATTAGTACGACGAAGCTAGCCGACAAATAAAGTTGGTATGAAAAAAAAGTAAACGTAAATACCTTGGTCTAGGTTAGAGTTATATTGTAAATTATGTTTTCTAGTTCCATAAAAAAAGTTAGAGGAAACAAAACATCGTGGGACATCAACATGATAAAAACATGAGTCAATCTCTTATATCATCTAAATAATCAGGGACATCAATATCAAGGTGGCATTCACAAAAATATGAAGAAAAGACAAAAATCAGGTGATAATTTTAGGGTAACAATGTTTTGAAAGCACATGATACGCAAGTTTTGCTGTTGTTGTTTGTTACAACCGTTATATTCCATCAACTGACTCTCACATAATTACAGATAAACTAGGAATGGCTGTATATTAAGCTTTCGTTTTATAGAATATATCGAACCGGCAAATAGACATCACAGACCATTATTACCGTTATAGTTACGTAATTCCTAACGATTTTTTGCTTCGCACATTACTACAAAAATGGTAAATGTATTTATCTCTGCAGCTCTTTTGTGGGTAAGATGGCATTTTGTTTACAATTTGGTAACAGCAGCGACCAATAACAACCCCCAAAATATAAAAATATTGTTTATTTACTTGTCGATGTGTGAGCGATCAAACACGGCTAATCGCCGCAGCAATCAACGACCAAAGTTTTTTCTAACGCCTCAATCACTTACATGATAAACATGAAAATAACAGTTTTCTAATTTTTATAGTGACAAATCGTCAACGAGTACTACTTGAACTGCCTGTGACTAGCTAATTACAGCGATTCATTACTAGCGACATCAACACTGAAACAAATAATAACAAAAGTATTTGATCAACATCACTAGCGACTTGTAAACGAATATGGTTGATATAACTAACTAAGGTATAACATATTTAAACTTTTGTTTTTTTTGTTAAACATATCATTTTCCTATTATCCCATACTAATTTTTATATAGGTTGTTTTTTTTTTGGGTGTAAATATAGGTTGTTTCTTGCCATCAATGTTTCTTAAATTAGCTTCTGCTATTTAGAGAGTATTGAAATTTTATTTTACTGTGGATTAATATTACAACATGAACGATTATTATATTTGGCGGATATTTTTAACCGAGATGATCATTAGACGTGTTCTATATTTTTCTAGTTGATAAACTTGCAAACTTAGAGTTTTGTGTGATCCGTCCTCGAGTTAAGAAAGGACCACCCAAGTGCTATCTTGCCCCTTCGAAGCTTTTATTGGCCGTACATTTATTAAATTTCGGATAGCTTTTAGGAAAGACAACAAAAAGTTTAATAATTTTACTATAATTTATTTATCTTAATTTATTGCTTCTTCTGCTCTCTGATTGATCCAAGTTCTGTCTTATGAAACGTCATTAAAATTATCATTTGCGGATCGTAATCTTGCATGAAGGGTTTCTTCGAAATATAAACGGGGTTTTGGAGGAGCTCGGAACAGTGAAAAAGATTTAGAAGAGATCGCGAGGACTTTTAAGTACAACTGAAATGTGACTTTCACGTGACTGGTTCCCTCTTCGCTGGAACATATTATCCACTCTTGGTTTGGGTCCTAGTAGGACCGTCCTTAAGGGTTAGAAAGGTTAAAAATAATTTAGGAGCCAATTTTATTAATCAGTTAGTTCCAATGGTAAACTTGGTTGGTAACTTTTTCAAGGTGCAGAGTTTGAAGCCTAATTTCTGTATAATATAACACTGATTTTTGTTTTAAAAAATAGTTTGTAAGGCAAAACATATTTAGTTGTTTCTAAGTTCTAACCTTATATATGTCAGGCACAAAGCCGTTCTACAATACTTCTGGCGTGGATCCTACGAGAGAGTACTCTATATAAACAGGCTAAACAGAATTTATCCTATAGCCATAGGGATTTCTTCAATTAACTGATATTTCTAAACTAATTTGAAATGTATTTTTTATTATTATTTCATATCGTTTTTATTCTCACCAAATTTTAAATTTTGTATTCAGCTAAAGTTAATTTCTCATTAAAACATAAAATCTCAATTTTCTGCTAAGAAATCATTTTTTCCGGAAAAATCACTTTAAATTTTAGTTTTTTTACAACATAAATACTTAAGTCTAGTTTTCCTGTTAAAATTGTAAAATCTTTTTTTTTTGCCACAAACGTAATATCTTATTTTCCTTCATGTAAAATCATATTTTCTCATCAAAACATTTTTTTTCACAAATAAACAAATTAATTATTTTACATATATATTTGAAAATAAATTAAACAAATGGTGATATAAGGAATATCATAAATTCTGTATAATATAACACTGATTTTTGTTTTAAAAAATAGTATGCAAGGCAAAACAAATTTAGTTGCTTCTAAGTTCTAACCTTATATATGTCAGGCACAAAGCCGTTCTACAATACTTCTGGCTTGGATCCTACGAGAGAGTACTCTATATAAACGGGTTAAACAGAATTTACCCTATAGACATAGGGATTTCTTCAATTAACTGATATTTCTAAACTAATTTGAAATGTAATTTTTTTATTATTTCATATCGTTTTTCTTCTCACCAAATTTTAAATTTTGTATTCAGCTAAAGTTAATTTCTCATAAAACATAAAATCTCAATTTTCTGCTAAGAAATCATTTTTTTCGGAAAAATCACTTTAAATTTTAGTTTTTTACAACATAAATACTTAAGTCTAGTTTTCCTGTTAAAATGGTAAAATCTTATTTTTTGCCACAAACGTAATATCTTATTTTCCTTCATGTAAAATCATATTTTCTCATCAAAACATTTTTTTCACAAATAAACAAATTAATTATTTTACATATATATTTGAAAATAAATTAAACAAATGGTGATATAAGGAATTTGTGGTATTCGCATATTACATGGTTTCGGACTATCATAACAATTTAGGATATTTTTGGAGTTTCTTAGTAGAATTTTTTCTAGACGAGGTATTTTTGGGGTCTGGGTAGTGCAAAGTTTTTATATCCATGAAAAAAATCAATAATGATACTACACCAAATTCTTATTAATTATACATATTTCAGAGTTGATAATCTGGATGAAGTTATTTCTTATTTTTAGAGTAAACAACTTTATTATTAGACACACAAGTAAAAAATAAACGAGCCAGCAAAGTCGGTTGCTAGCTTTACAAACCCAATTCCATCATCGAAATATATAACCAACAATTAAATATATAAAATAACACATGATTTTGGTTTAATGTTTTCTCCACACACCACCAGCAAGTTCAATCAATGTTTTGAAGGATCAAGAACTTGACCCATGAACAAAATAACTCCACTCTTGTCTTCTCTAACCGTGAATAGAAATGGATGGTCAGCTACAAAATCTGGATTTTTCCTCAAACACGTGGCACGTATAACGCATAAAGACACGGCAGCAGCTTCAGTTCCGTCTTCGTCCACCTCAATGCAAGCTTTATGAATAATATCTGAGACGTATAGCTTCTCACCGATGATAGGAGAATCAACCATCTCTGTTAAACCACCTCCAAGAGTACGAAAGGGTGAAGTCAAGCCCATATCCTTCAAAACATCCGAAGCTTTAAACTCGAAAGAGAACTTAAACTTTGGAATTCTGAAAGCATCCAATTCTCTTTGGTAGTCTGGAATATGGTTATCAAGAAAACCTGGTTCCGAGCCTATTTTCTCAAGCAGAGTAGGCAATCCGTCTTTGTCATCAGGGAGATAAATGTACATGGAGAATTGACGTTGATCTTCTACATAGGGAAGACGCAGAACTTGGAAACCATCATAGCATCTTAAGTATTGGTCCTTGTAACTTGTCATGAAGGGGACTTTCACAGAGGTGCCATCAGGAAGGTGAAAATCCTCATCTTTTGTCAACTTTGCATCGAATTTTTCGCTCCAAGCTCCTTTAAAATACACTGCATTTGCAAGTATGAGTGTACTTTCACGGATATCCTCAACAGCATCGCGTGATAAAATCTTGTTTATGACTCCATTGGTGTGGACTTCAGCCCATGTATTCACTTCATCAATCACTTCAACAGGCTTCAAAATAAGCGATCAAATTAACCAATAATTCCACAAATTCAACGCTTAAATAAAAACCCACACAAGGAGGAAATTACAACGTTACTATTAGTTATCTGACATCAAAAACAAAATAATATGGGACCATAATAAGAGTGGCAATTCTCTAAAATAGCCATATTTTAAGTTTTTATCACAAAAATAGACCTCAACAATTAAAATGACAAAAATAACATTTTTTTATTTTGAAAATTTTAAGTTTTCTTAATTTTTTTTAAATTCGAAATCTTATCTCCAAAACCCCACTCCTCAACTCTAACAAAAAAAATATAGGATTAGTTAACCCAAGGGTATAAATGTATATTTAATAAAACATTTAAGTGCTATTTATGTCATTTTAATTGTTAAGGTCTATATTTGTGATAAAAATTTTTTTAGGTTTATTCTAGTCATTTTCTCTGATAAGAGACATAACTCTATTCATTAATATTGCTAATCTGATTTGAAAAACATAGAAGAGTTACCTTGTTATAGAAGTCAACCTCACTACAAGTAGCCTTGTAGGAGTTCTCCAAAAGCTCCTTAAAGGAAGGCTTCAAGGAGAGAGACTTGTCGATCCATACACCATTGGCTACTGACAAGCGCAAATCAGAGCTTTTGCTATCATCATCAGAATCCCTAAGGGCAACAGATACAATCTCGGACAAGATTGTGTTGAGGTGATCCGTTGACGGTGAGTTGAGGAATGAGAGGATATGTTCTCTGGTGACGGAACTAGAGCCGGCAGCAATGATGCTGAGCAAAACGTTGATTGACGTTGGTGAGAAGACAAGGTTGCAGCCGTTGGCAACGGTAGTAATGACATGATTCGCTAGTTTTACCACCACGTCGTTTTGCTTCTCCATTGATTTTCTCAAGTCCATTTTTCTGTTTTTTACTTATTTTCTGCAGACACGAGAGCTTGGTGGAGGGGACGAATGGTCTTGAATATAAAATCATGTTTGAAAGTTAAGTACCAGACAAATTGAACAGTCATCTATGTATCACCCCAGCACGATTAGATCTTTGATTGAAATATATTATGAAAATGACTACCATTTCAAGTAATACATTAAAAAGAAGAGTGGTGGGGGTGGATAAAAGTCACCAAGATCCAAGATGGCAGATTCAAACCTATTTAAAAATGTGTTTCTTGTAGGTTAAGTTACAAGCAAGATAGTCAGACACCTTCCTGGTCTTAATGTTGTTTTGCCAATTTAATTTAAAATAATAATAGGCAAATTGAATTCAGTTTATTAGTTTTCTTCGAAAGATGTTGTAAATTATTATATGGAAAAGACAACAACTATGTAGAAAAAAATCAACTAGTGCTACATGGTAAATTATTTTACGAAATGGTATATATGATTATAATGACGGAACCTACTGAAAACTAATGTTAATTTGAATACTTCAGCACGACCGATTGACATTGACAAATCTCTAATTATTGACCAAGTGACGAGATCAAAATCAGAAGCAGAGTTACCACATGATAATCAAACAGTTTTAAAATTTATAAAAACCATCATAAACGTCAAATCCAAACGAAAATAGAATAATGGTTTAAATAGTTATAAATCTTTATTAATAGTATGAAGATTTAAAATAAAATAAAAACAATAAAGCAAGAACTTTAGTAAGGACCAAAATTGCTTCTTGAAATTTTGCTGAATCTCAAATTTTAAATCAACTAGTGCTAGATGCATGTTTAGAAAAAAAAACCAAGAAATATAATATATGATGACAATGATCGAACCAATACAGAACAAATCTCTTATACATGAGAAATGCTGACCACCAAGTAACGAGATAAAAATGTAATAAACAAAGCCTCTGAAGTGTTAGTCAACATTAAAGCGTGGAAGAAGAAACGAGTTACCAAAAAGAAAAAAAAAGTTACAAAAAAAAGAAAGAAAAAAATGAGTTTTGATTAACATTATTGGACACAAAGCAGTAAAAAGATGTAACAGCATGATAAGTGGCTAGCTTTACAAAGCCAATTCCACCAAGCTAACAAAAAAGAATAAAAAGAAAAAAGAAAAAACAAACGTATACAATGGTAAATGTTTTCTCCACACACCACCAGCAAGTTGAATCAATGTTTTGAAGGGTCAAGAACTTGACCCATAAACAAAATCACTCCACTCTTATCTTCTCTCACCATAAACAGAAATGGATGGTCCGCTACAAAATCTTGATTTTTCCTCAAACACAGGGGACGCATAACACAAACAGAAACGGCTGCAGCTTCAGTTCCCTCTTCATCCACCTCAATGCAAGCTTTATGAATCAAGCTTGAGACATATAGCTTCTCACCAATGATAGGTGAATCAACCATCTCAGTTAGACCACCTCCACGAGAACTAAAGGGTGAAGTCAAACCCATATCCTTCAAAACATCTGAAACTTCAAACTCAAAGAGAACTTAAACTTTGGAATTTTGCAAACACGCACTTTTATTTGGTGGTTTGGTATATGTTTATCAATAAATCCTGGCTCAGATCCTATATATTCTCTCAACCAAAGCAGATAAACCGTCTTTGACATGAGGAAGATAAATGTACATGGAGAATTGACGTTGATCTTCTACATAGGGAAGACGCAAAACTTGGAAACCATCATACCTTCTTAGATATTGGTCCTCGCAATCGGTGGTCATGAAGGGGATTTTCACAGAGGTGCCATCAAGTATTGAATTAAATAAATAAATTAGTTATTTATTCTAGTTTTTTCTAGTAAGTCAAGTGTGTTTGGTTACTAGAATAAGAATACTCTCTTTCTTTATAACTTATTGTAACGTTATTTTTCAGATCTAAGAAAAAAAGTTCCTCATTCTTTTCTCTTTTCTCTCATCTCTCTCTTGTTCTTCAATCTCAAATCCTTACTTTCTTACATGGTATCAGAGCAATAAGCTCTTGAGTACCTATTTTGCTTACGCGATTTAACTTTGATACTCTTTTTTATTTGATTTATCATTCTACTCCTCCTATTTTCTTTCCAGATCTACTTTATTTTGTGGATAAGAAATCTGTGTTCTTGAGTTGTAAAATTTCAGTGACTGTTTCCTTGGCTTCTTTGTGTAACCATTGGGTAATAGTCTCTGAAGATGAATCAATTCATACTAGTCAATATTCCTGTTGTTCTCAAGGGAGGAGAAAACTACATCACTTGGTCTAGATTGGCCAAAACAGCCCTTGGAGGAAGAGGTCTTTGGGAGCATATCACTTCAAGTTCTGCACCAAGGCAAATCACCCAAGGAGAAGATGGCAAGGAGATTGTAGTGGTAGATGAAGGCAAATGGGATCAGGAAGATCTCATGGTGCTGTCTATCTTGCAAAGCTCTCTTGATGGTCCTATCATGGACTCTTACTCACAATATGAAACTCCAAAACAGTTGTGGGATACCTTGAAAAAGGTGTATGGCAATACTTCAAATCTGACAAGAATCTTTGAAGTTAAGAGAGCCATCAACAATTTGCAGCAAGAGGAGAGTGACTTCACCAAGCATCTTGGGAAGTATAGTCAGCTATGGTCGGAATTGGAAATGCTAAGGCCAAACACTAATGATCCCAACATTCTTGAGGAGAGGCGTGAGCAAGACAAGGTCTTTGGTCTTCTTCTCACACTCAATTCAAACTTCAGTGATGTGGTTAAACACATATTGAGAGCTAAGGAGCTCCAAAGGTATGATGATGTGTGTGCACAACTTCAAAAGGAGATTGGTTCAGATGGTCTCTTTGGGAGAAAAGAAGAGCTGTCTATGACAAACAAGGCTGAGAAGGTGGAAAGTACAGCAGCTAATAAATCTCAATTCAAACCAAGGGGAGGAGGAGACAAGCATGTGGCGTGTGAGCATTGCAAGAAGTTGGGACACTCCAAAACCAACTGCTGGATCCTCCACCCGCACCTCAAACCAGCCAAGTTCAACCAGGCCAAAGCACATGAAGCAAGAGCTCATGAGTACACTGGTGGCTCCACCTCTCACGCTATGTCCCAGCCATCTCCTGATGATGCATTCATCCGCAAGTTAGACATTGAGGCCCTTATAAAGGCTCTTAATGTGAACTCCGGTAATATTAGTATTAATACTTTAAACTCTGTTCACAATGGATCTCACACTGCTAGACCTTTGATCATTGATTCAGGAGCTTCTCATCATATGATTAGGGATGCTAGACTGATTAATAATGTAACCCCAACTCTAGGCAGTGTAGAAATTGCAAACGGTGATAAAATACCCATAGAAGGAATAGGAAATCTGAAACTGTTTAATAAAGATTCTCAAGCTCTTTACATGCCCACTTTTACTTCAAACTTATTATCTGTTAAGAGAGCAACTAATGACCTAAATTGCAATGTTATTTTCAGTCCTAATGATGTTTGCTTTCAGGATATTAANAAGAATGAAAGTTGTGAGGCTTGTATTCTTGGTAAACATCAGAGGTCTGTTTTTCCTAAATCAATGACTATTTACGAGAATTGTTTTGATCTTGTGCACTCTGATGTTTGGACTGCTCCTTGCGTGTCTAGGGAGAATCATAAGTATTTTGTTACATTCATAGATGAAAAATCAAAATATACTTGGCTCACCCTGATTCGAACTAAAGATAGGGGTTTAGAAGCTTTTATTAACTTCCAAAACTATATATCTAACCATTTCAATTCCAAGATCAAAATTTCCAGGTCTGATAATGGGGGAGAATATACAAGCAATGCTTTCAAACATTACTTAACAAAACATGGGATTATCCATCAAGCAAGCTGTCCTTACACACCCCAACAAAATGGAGTAGCTGAAAGGAAGAATCGCCATCTTATGGAGGTTGCAAGGAGCATGATGTTTCACACCAATGTTCCTAAGAGATTTTGGGGAGATGCGGTGGTATCAGCTTGCTATCTGATAAATAGAATCCCCACCAAAGTTCTCCAAGATGTCTCTCCATTTCAGGTATTAAACAAAATTAAACCTCCAATTGATCGTCTACGTGTGTTTGGGTGTGTTTGTTATGTCTTGACACCATGAGAAATGAGAAACAAGCTAGAAGCCAAGAGTGTCAAGGGCATATTTATTGGATACTCCCACACGCAAAAAGGTTATAAGTGCTACATTACTGATTCAAGAAGAGTTATGGTCTCAAGGGATGTTAAGTTTGTGGAATCTGAGGGGTACTATGAGGAGAAGAGTTGGGAAAGTCTCTAAGATCTCTCACAAGGACCCTCATATAGGGCAAACAACTTGAGAATTATTCTGGAGAATCTTGGCATCAGTCAGCCTCAAAGCAGTGAAGTGGCAAGGGCTTCTTCCTCACCGGCATCTGCTGAAAACAATGAAGAAGCAACACCAGTTGTTGAAACTGGTCATCTTGATCTTGAAGGGGGCAATGAACCTGAATTACAGCCACAAGAAATAGAAGATTTAACAAGCACGCATGATCAAGATGAATCTGAAATTGACCAGTCTATTGAAGAACATGTTAATGAAGTCCAAGGGCATGAAGAGGTAAAGTTAGAAGGGCAAAAAATTCAACCATTGAGAAGGAGTACAAGAGTGAAGAAACCATCTCAGTGGGTTGATACCAAAGTGTACTTCAACAACAATGCAGTGGCTCATCCTGTCCAAGCAACATGTTCTTTTGCGAGTTTTACTCAAGAGCATGAGCATGTAGTCTTCATCAGCAATCTGGATCAAGAGTACGTCCCAAAGACTTATGAAGAAGCCATGGAACATGAAGAGTGGAGAGAGTCAGTTGGAGATGAGGTTGGTGCCATGATCCGAAATTGTACTTGGTATGAAACCGAACTACCTAAAGGCAAGAAAGCTGTGACCAGCATGCTACTCTTCACCATCAAATATCTTGCTAATGGAAAACCAGAAAGGAAGAAGACAAGACTGGTTGCAAGAGGGTACACTCAGGTCTACGGA